CACACACACACACACACACACACACACACACACACACACACACACACACACACACACACACACCATTTCAGTATTGCTCTCATGTCAGTCTCACTGTAATCCAGTAAACCAGTGAAGGCCACTTCAAACATGTGCACATTATAATATATAGACAGACAGATGTTGAGTCAAAGCCTCTGTCAAACATTATATTCATGTTTTACTTTCTGAGAACAGTTTGCAGTACATATCAGTGTTCACATGAAAAACCTTGGATTAAAACCACTCTGTCTCATCACAGCTGACTTATTGTGTTACAGTATAAAAGTGTGTTTGGCAGAGAGTGATATCTGCTCACTGCTGTAATCCACAAGGAAAAGAGAAACATACTTGAAAGATTTTTTTTTCTATTTAGATTACAAGTTACATAATACACACACATACACACACACACACACACACACACACACACACACACACACACACACAGCTTGGTTTATCTTGTTAGTAGTGCACAGCAGTGAGTGCCTTGTGGGATGTGTTATTCAACAGGACAAAAAATTGTCATTCAGTGTCTGCAGGTTTTAGTATTGTCTCACTTCTGTGTGTGTGTGTGTGTGTGTGTGTGTGCGCGCGCGTGTGTGTGTGTGTGTGTCACAGACGATTCGTCTCTCCTGCTGGCCTCTGCTCAGAGACTCTGTCTACTACACCCTGTCTATCTCTGCACTTATAGTGGTGAGCACCAGCTTCATATATTGATATATACATATTAACAGTGGTATAATATTAAAAGCTGGTACCATCTCATTTAACAACCAGTAACCAGCTGTATATGTAGACATGTTGAAGTCTTTGATGTTCACTCTGTCATGTTTCTTCCACTCTACAGTTCATATATGATGAGAAGGTGGTTTGGTGAGTGGACTTTACACACAAGTATTGAATGATTGAATGAATGACAGACAGTCAGCTCTGTCACTGACACATACTGTGTTTCCAGGTGGGAAGCTCTCACGCTGATCCTGATGTATTTCGTCTACATTCTGATCATGAAGTGAGTAAAGATCAACGCTGATTGATGCCTTTTGATCGCTAAAATAAGGACACATTAACAGAGGGGTCACCAGCCTTGTGAGCAGCCTCTCAGAGTATTTCAGTGCAATGTTGACATTGACCAATCAGAAGGCTCTCCTCCAGCTTTTATTGTGAAACAACATTCCTGGTCATTTGTGGTCAGCCTCTGTCAATGAAGTGCATTGTTCTTCATGACCACCTGGGTCAGGATGGACCCTCACCAGGCGTGGTTCTAGACTGCTTTGATTTGGGGGGCATTAAGAGATGTTGACTGGTCACTAAGTGCCGTACTTCAGGGGCCGCTACTGGGGTCCTCGCTGACTGTTCTTTAGGACTGTAAGCTACAACATGCACTGTTTTATGTTGTCTAAAACTAAAGCAATAGAATCTAATAATACATAGTCCCCCTTCCTGTCGGGTTGAGCTGAGGAGTAGTACCGTGAGACAACACCGGGAAAGGCTGCCTCTGTTGACTATGGCCCAGAAACAACCAGAAATCAGTGCATGGTGAGGGAGAGAGAGAGACAGAGAGATTGAAGCACAGTGAGTGAACCACTGAAAACTGGTGGTAAAACTGAAGTTATCGTACCCTAATACACATGCAGCTAACTAGCTTAACACTACGTCTAGAAGGTGATTGCAAATGATTGACAATAAATAATTCCAAATACCGTAAGTTCTAAGTTGCAAGTTGGCAAATCTGTTAGATCTAGAGATCAAACCTCATGGATGAACTAAAACTAAAACCAGGCTGATTTCTCGGGATCAAGTCACTGAGTGTGAACACAGTAGACTGTAACCAGAGAGTAGTGATGAAGTGAGATGGTAGTGAACTAACTGCTCTCCCCACTGTATATAGTTTTTATATGGCCAGACCAACCAACCAGATACAAGTAAACCTGATCATTTGAATGTGGCATGTTTGTGATTAGTCAAATCTACAAGGACAAAATAAAATAATTTTACGGACACTTTTTGAATTTTGGGATCAAACAGGACAATTTAGTGAAGGTTTGGAGCATTTGGTGGGGCATTGCCCCCCTGTGCCCAAGCCTAGAGCTTGGTCTGACCCTAAACCTCTTACGGTCTGACATGTGGTTTGTGATGCGGTCCGAGCTGCTGGTTGTTATCTGGATCACATGTCTGTTGCAGGATGAATTCCTATGTGGTTCGTTTCCTGGAGATAAGGAAGAAAAACTCGCCGTCTCTGAGGAACGGAGCAGCCAGTAACGCTGAGCTGGACGATGGATGTGACGCTACAGCTGTTCTGTTAAAGAAAGGTACTGGGATTCATCATTAATACAGGAAGTGATTGTTTTTAACCTGTTTAACTCAAGGTCCACTTACTATCTTTGTTCAGAGCTCTCAAACACCTTACAGCCTCCCTCAGATGGAGACTGTTGTCATGGAGATAGCTGTTATCTGCCGTGTGTGATAACTGAGCGACGATGCTGTTGAACTGTGTGTTAGATGGTGTAAATGGACATGTTGTTGTAGTAGTCACCATATGTATGTGTGTGTGTGTGTGTGTGTGTGTGTGTGTGTGTCTACAGCGAACCACCATAGGAAGCCATCAGTGCTGATGGTGGACGAGCTGCTCTCAGCATACCCCCATCAGCTGTCCTTCTCTGAGGCCGGCATGAGGATCATGATCACCAGCCACTTCTCCCCCAGAACCCGCCTCACCATGGCCTCACGGATGCTCATCACTGAGGTGAGGGCACACAGACGTCTGCAGCTGAGCTCCTAATGGAAAAAATAGGAAAAAAACAGATTGGTGCCGTTTCCAATTTGAGTGGGACAGCAGTGTGTTTGTCAGACAGCTCCTTTAACAAGGTAATCTGCTGCTGCACAGAGGCCACAGCCACAGAGTAGATCCAACACTGAGGGCTACAGGCTTTACCCATGGTGCATCTCTCAGTCACTGGTCAAGACATAAGATGTTTAAATCACAGAAAACCTTTAAATCAAACTGATTGAAGCCATTGCAGCAAATATACCTTTCATGTTTTATTATGAACAGATCTGCTCTTCTGATTAGATTAATACCAGAATCAACTCCACACGGTTGTTTCCCCCACCAACCAGCCAAGTTACAGGAAATGTGGTCAGGCTCCACATACTTCATTTTAAAGCTTCTTATATTTCCCCTCTAAAACAACACAGAACTTAAAGTTACGACTTTATTCTCATAATGTTTTATGACTTTGCTTGTTAAATAAGGACTTGATTCTTTTGATATTATGACTTTATTCTCGAAATGTCAGATAGTTTTTTCTTCAATGTGACCCTAATACCAGATACATTAACAGAACCATTGGATGAAAACATTTTTCTTTTACAGGCAACACAAAGAGACTAGCTTTTTAACTTTTACATACAACCATGGACACATGCCTCATGTTTCACCTTAGCTCACTTAACAAACTGTCAAACAAACATCCAGCGACTTTTATCCTCTGTATCTTCATGTCAAACTGTTCTTGTCTGTCTCTGCCTGTGGGACAGTTAAGTCATCTCAAATGTTATCTCCTTTCCTTTGTTTCCTTTTGGCTGTTACCATGTCATGTTATTTCTTTGTATTTTATTGTACAGCACTTTGGTCAACTCTGGTTGTTTTGAATGTGCTTTACAGATAAACTTGATTTGATTAGATTAGATAGCTAATAGATAATTAGCCAGTGGCTAGCATTCAGAACAGCTTCCAAATGAATGATGTCTAAAGACAGGGGTGTGTGTGTGAAACAGTTCCTGTGCTGTGTGTTATCGTTCAAACAGGGATGAAACAAATTTGACAGTAGTGTCTTCATGGTGCCGTACACATCTGTTTACATGGAGTAAAAGATAAATATGTGTTAAAGGTTCTGTAAACGATTGTCATGGCCATTAGATGTCGCACTAGACCACCAGCATCTCAGAACAAAACTAATGCATTGTCGGCCACACCTCCATCCTCTGTTCAGCCACAACCCCACCTTCCCCCCCTTCACATTTTGTCAGCAAGGTGTTACAGAGCACAGTGAAAAGAGACACTAAACACACACCAAGACGGACGACTGAATAAAGTTATCCTGTGTACACAAGAGCTAACAAAAGAAACAATCCAGCCACAACCATTAGCCCATGCTAGCATTGCTGTGATATGCTCCACAGAAATGCAGGTAGTGATAGCAATTTTTGCAGAACACATTTATAATATGGGAAACAGCTAGTTAGCATGTCTACTGTAGCCATCACTAATGAAAACAGACAACATTATGAACCATCAAGTTACTGACACATCGAGGAGAAGAAAAAACAGTTCTGAGTCCAGCTGGACCCTTTAGCAGCTCATAGGGTTCCCCTCCCAGTAAACCAGACCAGTATTGGCTCCCCGGTCAGAGTTGGAAAGAAATTCAGGTTTGAACTGATCCACTGGGACTGGCTGCACAAATGACACTGATGAAGCCAGTGAAGACAGTGACGGAGCAGTAAAAACTTTGAAAACTTTAGGGCTGTCCTGACGGTCCACCAGCCGGCCTGGATTTTAGCTGGTAGTCCCCCATTGGTCAATTGACCAGTGAATGTGTTCATCAGGTTGTTGGTCTCAGAAACATCATTATCAAACACACTCCCAAAGTCTCAATGTTGACAAAGTGTAAGAGGGCTCAGTTAGCAGTTATCAAACCTTTTATTCTTTTAAACCACTTCTAACTAAAACACTGTTTGTATCTCTGCTGCCTCAGTTGTCAATCATATATACACTGACCCGCCCACTCAGAGGCCTGGAGTCTTCACATGTATCTGCCTTTTCTACCTTAGAATGATTTTTGTCTTCTTTTGGACGGATTTTGATCATTTTCTTAACTTTGACAGACAAAATAAAGATGATTCCCTGTGTAAATATACCTATGTGTAAATATATTTATACAAATGTAGCCTATGTATTAATGAAACTTGAGTTGAATTTAAATTGGGATGTGTCTGTTTTCATCAGTGGAATATGTGCTTAGCCCCTCCTGCTTTTGTGTATTCATGATACAGAGGCAGCGTCTGATCAACACACGGACTTTGACCAATGGAGACTCTGATGTTCCTGGGAAAGGAGGAAGTAGGCGGGGCATAGAAAATGGGCTGTCCGGGGCAGAGAGGGGTGTCAATGTTCACCATGACGACCGAGAGGCGGGAAATGAGACGGAGAACGAGGACAATGAGAACAACGAAAATGACGAAGAGGAAGAGGAAGAGGATGGAGACGGACCCTTTGTACCCTTCCAGTGCCCAGGTACCAGGTGGAGGTGGATCCATGTGGACTGTGTTGACACTCTGCAGAGATGAGTTTGTTGTCACCACTCTCATGTCTGTGTGCTAGGAGGCGATTAGCCTCACTTAGCCTTAAGACTGGAGGCAGGGGGTGACAGTTAGTTTAGCTGTCTCCAGAGTTCAACAATATTTGTATGAACATCTCTAAATCTCAGTAATTAACATGCTGTTTCTTGGCTGTTTAATCTGTGAGTCACATGTGGTAAATATTTCCTGGAGGACTGCCAGGTATGGTCAGTGAGTTTTTAGTACTAAGACAACTCTAGCAAACCAGACCAACTGATGGACTGTTGCTTGTCCTTGTCCTAATACAAATTTGTTTTGCCATTCGTTTTTATCTGCTAGCTTAATATCTGATCAATATTCAATTTTTTTTCCATTTCTGAGAGAAATATTGAACCCAAATGCAGCCAACACAAGACAGTTGACAACCAATCCAAAAACTAGGCAAATACTAGGAATTTAACAGGCAAAACAGAAAAAGCTAAAACACTGGGGGCACAGGATCAAAAGACACCAGGAACTGCAACAATCCAAAATGAAGAACAACAGATGAACTAACAAAGACAAGGGGAGCACAGAGACTAAATACACATGAGAGGCAAGGTTGATTGAACACAGGTGAAACACATTTGGACGGGGCAGAAAATCAACAAGGAGGGAAACACAAGACAGGAAGTAAAACAAACATGGGACACACAAGGGAATGTACTACAAAATAAAACAGGAAATCATCAAAAGTCCAAACAGAGTCCAAAACAAACACCAAAAGTGATCATACATAAAGTGTCCATCTGAGGCCTGTACTACAAAGCAAGTTCAACATACCCAGGATAACTTTTAGTTATCTGGCTTGACTGAACTTAACATTGGCCATCCTGATAACCTGTACTACGAAGCTGGTTATCAACTGGCTCAGTTAACCCTGGGTTTACCTCGAAAAGTGATATTTAACAAGGTGAAATATAAACAATATGATCACATGACTGGAATAAAAAAATATTATTGCCATGTCTAAATATAATTTCTATTAAAGTCAGACTATTGATCACTATCGTTACCAATAGGTTTGAGTATTTTTGCTCTTTTGTCTGATGATGAACAAACTGTTATGAACATGTGATGCAGAGAAAACAGTTAAAGTTAATGTCAGACTGTTTCTGCTGCAGAGAGGAGAAAAAGAAAAGAAAGGGGAGAAGTAGTTGATGTCTGATGAGTCAGAATGACTGAAATGTTCATTTATAATCATGGAAATAATTAACAGTGTGTAGCTAACTGTTCTAATCAAAGACACCAGAGGTTTAGTTTTTATTTCCAGTTGTGGTCACAGAGTCCCCTCATGTTATTCTGAGCTCAGTGATGAAGAAGAGAGTAAAAGCTTCATCACTGTCAGGAATCCTGTCGGATTAAAGAATTTTTGTTCAGTTAAAATGAAACTATAATTGTTATTATATAGGCTATTTATTTAGCGTGATAAACTCCTTTTTTAACAACATTTCTATAAATTTTTAGAAGCTTTGTTTTAAAACCATAGTGGACACATGGAAAGACTCAAACAGGAAAACTATTCCACTGATTATATTTCATATCTGCTGCTCGTTATTATAGATAACTCTTTGTCCCTGTCAGGATCCTGTACGAATGATGACTCAGTTTTTCCAGTGATTTGGTCAGTAGTTTGGCTGTTGACCGGTTTTGATCTGATCCTCTGAAGTTAACCTGCGCTGGAGCAGGTTAGGAGTTCAGCATAAGTTACCATGGTGATTTAACCCGGTAACGAGTCAACCACTGTCGGAGGACTGAAAACCCAGAGTTAACCCTGAAGTTACCTGGTTAACCTCAAATCCTGCTTCATAGTACAGGCCTCAGGGCAAACCATGAAATAAATAATAATAATAGTATTGATAAGCAAAGAAACACACATTTTATTTCAGTTTTAACTTTTAATTCATGTTTTCACATGTACAACCCTGTTTTCCAAAAAAGTTTGGACGCTGTGTAAAACGTAAATAGAAACAGAATGTGATGATTTGCAAAACATTGAAACCCCAGATTTAATTGAAAATAGCACAAAAACAACACATCAAATGTTGAAACTGAGAATATTCATTGTTTTTTGAAAATTAGATGCCGATTTTGAATTTGATGCCAACATGTTTCAAAAAAGTTGGGACAGGGTCATGTTTACCACTCTGTTGCATCACCTCTTCTTTAACAACACTCTGTGAGCGTTTGGGAACTGAGGAGACCAATTGCTGTAATACTGAAAGTGGAATGTTTTCCCATTCTTGCTTTGGTGTGTGATTTCACCTGCTCAACAGTTCAGGGTCCCCTTTGTTGTTTTTTACGTTTCATAATGCGCCAAACATTTTCAATGGGTGACAAGTCAGAACTGCAGGCAGGCCAGTTTAGCACCTGGCCTCAGTGTCAGAGGGTCTTTACAGTACGAGAGTACATGATAATCAGTGTTTTTCCTCCCTCCTCATACAGCCCATGTGTCAGTGTACTGACGGTGTGACTCTGTGTGTTTTGCAGCGGGGATGTGTAACAAGCTGAAGTGGCTGCTGGCCTGGCCTCTGTGCCTGCTGCTATACTTCACCGTCCCCAACTGCTCCACGCCTCGCTGGGAGAACTGCTTCATGCTGTCCTTCGTCGCCTCCACCATGTGGATCGCCGGCTTCTCCTACATCATGGTCTGGATGGTGAGTGACTGGTGTCAGTGATGTTCTACTCTGTGGTAGCTGTGGTTTAAAGTTTTAATATCTCTAAATCTCTATCTTTCTACCATGTCTCTGTGAGCTGCACCAACAGTTAATAAAACACACACACACAACTGTCCTGTCTCTGTGTGTCAGGTTACTGTCATAGGCTTCACTCTCGGCATCCCCGATGTCATCATGGGCATCACCTTCTTAGCAGCTGGCACCAGCGTACCTGACTGCATGGCCAGCCTTATAGTGGCAAGACAAGGTAACCACACACACACACACACACACACACACACACACACACACACACACACACACACACACACACACATAGACACACGCTGTATGAAGGGTTAGCCTGTTGTTTTTCTCATCGGTTTCTCATACTGTTACTGAGGATGTAAATTTTGGCAACTCCATGGATTTTTCCTGAGCAGTGGATTATGGTTAAACTACATTAGTTGGACACATGTAGACTGTGACGACCAGGTTGCACAAATACCCACCTACTCATACCTATGGAGGCCAAACAGAATCAAAGTGAAGCCACTATCAAAGAGCTGGAGAGGGGAGGAGATGACAGAGGTAGAAAAAAGTAGAGGGTGGAGGGTGGAAGGTGGGGGGTGATCCTGTCATCTCTTTCCACTGTCCCTCTTCTGTCTCTATGGTGAGCTTGTAAGAGAAGGGGGGGGTGGAGAGGAAACAGCCTGACCGGGTTCCTTCCTCCATCCTTTCATCTGTGTTTATTCTTGCTGCTGCCATCAAATATTTAAACGGCCCTGTCTGTCTATGTGTGTGTGTGTGTGTGTGGTGGCTCACTGTGAGGCACACACTTGCCACCACAGTTTAGTCGTCCGTCCCTCTCTTTGTAGCTGCTGTCTCTTTGTTGTTTGTTTCAGGGCATGTCAGTTGGACAGGTGATCTCACTGCAGGTGGACCTGCCTTCATCCACACCCTCCATACTGTCTGTACGTTTCTTTTCCTGTCTCCTGGTCTCTGCTGCTCTAAGACTCCATGTCTGTCTCTGTGTTCAGGACTGGGAGACATGGCCGTGTCCAACTCCATTGGCAGTAATGTGTTTGACATCTTGGTGGGGCTTGGTCTCCCCTGGGCTCTGAAGACCCTGGCTATCAACTACGGCTCTGATGTAAGCAGCACACTCCTGCATGTCTTCTTCTCTGTTTTAGCTATAAAAAAAACTAAAAAAATAAATCCATAATGACTTCAACTCAAGCTAAAGACATGAAGACAAACTTCACTGGAGAAGTGGGTGTGGCATGTTTCAGTAATGACTCAGCTGTTGTTTCAGCAGCTCTGAAACCAGAGGCCTCACTGATCAAAGCAACAAAAAGCTCTGAATGTGTGTGTATGAACAAAAAGACATTGTATTCATCAACTTCACACAGTGAGCAACCATGAATCTCACCTGTTCTATATCCATCTGCTAGTACAGGTGCAGGCTCAGGCTCAGGTACAGAATCAGACCGACACACTTCCACAATCCCAAATATGGTCGACTACATCCTGCGAGCCAGACAACAAGGTTCAGATAGTAAAGCAGAAAAAGATCCTGTAGCATGTGGGAAAGTTTCCCAGTATGCACTGGGGCAATGATACATAAGACTCATGACTGACAGATAATTCAGTGATGGTCCGATAAAAGATCTGCAGAATACAGCATGGACACTGAGCTCAGAACCACCTCAATACAAACTCAGACATGAGTTTGTATTTGCATTTTGTTTCACTTTCATCAGTTTAAACATAACTGAAAAATCAATAATGGATACCTGTCAATTAAAATGAGTGATACTGAAGCAGCTCATTGTTAATGCAGACTGATGATAGGTTAAAGCACATCAGTGGTGCAGGACCAGAGAAACAACAGGAAGTAGATGGGCTCCATTTACTCTGAAAGAGACAATTTTAACAGGAATGCAGGAACCATATTTCACATCATTACGACATGTTGATTACAGAGCTGGACTTTGTGTAACTGTTGGTCTGAGGTTCTAACTGTTCGCTGCTGGGCCAGAGAGATTCATATGTATGCACATCAAGCACTACAAGAAGCTGATAAATTAGGGTACTCAGAACAGTCGATTAATGAGGGCCCTGGTCTCCTTCCTGCCTCAGCTCTGTCACCGCTTTCAAGAGGGTACTCTCACTGTAATGTGCAACACTGAATACGAACATTATATCATTAAAAAACCACCAACCTTCTGCAAAGATCAAATAACTGTACTGGAAAGATCTGCTGACCGCAGCTCATTACAGTAGCCAGGATTTTCCACACACACATCACTGTGAGACTCTGTGTTACAAGTAAAAATGTTTACTCTATTTTTACATCTACCCCGTGAAACAAACACAGAGACCGACTGCTCCATTAATGAGTGTTGATGTTCTGGTTCTGAGAAGTGATGGAGTTTGATCATGTCACACAGGAAGATAATCACACAATCCACACACACTCTGTCACACACACAGCAGAGTGTGACTGCACACTCACTAGATTTTAATTGCTCTAACAGCAATATTTCAATGTAATAAGTATAGCCATGGGAACAATTATTAATTATGAATAATGACAATAATCAGAACACTGACTCTTCCTCTGTGGAGGGATCAAGGTGACAGGTGTCGTACAACATCTGTAATATACCTGGAATCTACAGTCGTAGCAGCACAACTCTGAATGCCGAGTGTAATGTTCAGGATTGTATTATTAGAATACGTTCATTAGATTCACATGAGGGGAGGGGCTGATGATGAGTTCACCAGTGATGGAGAGCAGGTATCTTCATCATCATCTTCTATCTTTGCACTTTCAGAGAAAGGCTCTGGATGTTGTACTGTAAAACAAGCAGGGCTCCAAGGATTATGAAGGGATCAAATAAAGTGATTAAACACACACGTGCACATTTCATTTAAAATTTGCAAATCCTTCTCGTCATGGAACCAACAAACTGGGCAGATGCAGACCTCCCTCCAGAGGCTCATCTGTACATGAACCACTGCAGCCTCTTGTAGCTGACTGGTCACTGAGTCACCGCTGTGTTTACTTAACTCTTTAAATGCTTTAAATCCTAAATAAATTCAAATCCAAATAAATTTGGCCCTTGAGGGACACACAGCAGCACTATGATTCACCTGGAGTCAGGGCCAGTATCTCTCCTGTCTCCACCAGCTCCTGAACAGAATACCTGGCTCTTTATCTGCTGAATGCTGCACTGTATCGTCTGCTGTCTGCTGTGGAGCAGGTTCAGGTTAAAACTCACTGTACAGCTGAGAGGAAAATCTTAACTGGTGTAGAAATGTGAATAAAACTGTCTCCTTTGTCTTTATTTATTTGATAATTGCTTTTACTTATGTGTATGTATGCGTATATTTCCATGTGTATATGTACGTATGTGTGTATACATGTGTAGGTATATGTGTATATGTTTTGTTTAATATATTTCATAGCTTTTTTTGTATTCTTTATTTAATTATCAATTCATTCTATTAATAATTATATCGTATTTTATCATATTAATATTGTTATTGATGTTTTTTTCATTGTTAATTTAATTCCATTGAATGATTGTAATTGTGCTTTGGCAACACATTGAAAATGTCATGCAGTAAAGCCTGTTGAATTGAACTGAGATGTGAATATTGATGTGTGTCATGTGATCCTCCTGCAGATCAAACTGAACAGTAAAGGACTGATCTTCTCTGTGGGGCTGCTGTTGGCGTCTGTGTTTCTGACTGTGAGTATACAACAGCTGGTTTCACCTCAGCCTCCATCAGTGTCAGTGTGTGACAGCTTCCTGACTCCTCTCCGCTGATCTGTCCAGGTCCTCGGAGTTCACCTGAACAAGTGGACGCTGGACAAGCGTCTTGGTCTCGTGTGTCTCCTCCTCTACTCCGTCTTCCTGTGTTTCTCCTGCCTCATCGAATACAACATCTTCACCTTCGTCAACCTGCCCACCTGTCGGGACGGCTGACACGCACACACACACACACACGCGCGCACGCATACACACACACACACACACACACACACACACACACACACACACACACACACACACACACACACGATCTCCACAGATCTGATTCAGTGTCAGCAGGACTTGTTACACCCCCCACACAGAGCAGCACTGAGGACAACAACACAACCACATGCTGTCTGACCACTGCTTCTTCTTCTTCTTCTTCTTCTTCTTCTTCTTCTTCTTCTTCTTCTTCTTCTTCTTCTTCTTCTTCTTCTTCTTCTTCTTCTTCTTCTTCTTCTTCTTCTTCCTGTGTTTAGGTTTAACTAGCTGCTAACCTGAGAGGACAGGTGTGTCTGTTAGAGAAATAGTGATTAAAGCAATGATGTAGGGTGTAGGGTGTAGTTTAGTGCTGTGGTGCAGATGATGAAGATGAAGTTTTCAGACACAGTTATCTTAGTTTCTGTCACCATCATGAAGAAGTGTTCCGTACGTTCTCCCCCCACACACACAGAACCAGGGCATTATCCACTCACCTTTTTATAATGACCTTCAACAGCACCACAGCTGTAGCTGACATGTTTTGTATTGGAGATGAATTATGGAGAGTCTGTCTTTTCCTCCTGTAAATACTGCACCTCTGTAAATACTCCAGATGTTCTATCGATTATTTATTCAAGTCATACGCACATCTCTCCTCTGGAGGCGGTGAACACACCTGGGCAGGTTCTCATGGACCAGACGTCCAGACCTCAGACCTGTTCACACGACCACTCGTGTACAAACAAGCACAATTTACCCTTTGTTTGTCCTGTTGATTTCAGTGATGACTTGATTCAGACACGTCATTTAGTTTAGTGTGTGTGTGTGTGTGTGTGTGTGTGTGTGTGTGTGTGTGTGTGTGTGTGTGTGTGTTAAAACAGATTCAAAGTTGCACTGAAGAGCTGAAACACCTGTCCCTGATGCATGCTGATTATAAGGACGGCATCCTTGTAAAATGAAGCAGGTTCATACGAAAAAATCATCATGTGAGGGGGTGAGGGGGTGCGAGGGTGCGGGGGGTGGGCGAGTGGGTGGGGGTCATTATAGCCTGTACTGCCACGTAGGGACTGCTTCTTTTCTCTAAAACAATGACCAAATAGACTCAGAACAGCCGAGGTGATTCCTCTGAGCTGATGTACGTCCTCCTCTTCCTCTTCCTCCTCCTCCTCCTCCTCCTGCTCCTCCTGGTGAGGTATTCAGTGGTAGTGTTGTAGGAGTAGAGTAAAGATGCAATATAAAGCATCAGGACTTTATCCCAGCTTGGATACTCTAAGGCTGGTTTTCTTTTGTACCCAGGAGTTGTTTGTATTTGTAATGACTGATGTTTAGATTTGTCAGATATGGTAGGTTTGTGCTACATAAATATTCCTACTAGTTTTTAGAGCATGTACGATGTGGTTTGTGAGATTTTTATTCCGCTGTGGGACAGAGACACAGACACAGAGGAGTCTTCCTCAGAGACTTCCTCCTGTCGAAGCTGTCGTCCATCAACACGTCAGCATCTCCTGTCTGTCTCACTGAAGGAAAACTAAATTAAACCGATCTGATCTGTTTCAGGAACATCTTTAATTTATTGATCAGTAATATAAACTATCAGTTGTCTTTTGAATGTAGAAATCATTCATGTTGTTTATGTATGATAGATATTTATTGATCTCAGAGACACAGAGGAGCCTCTGTGATGTGACCGGGAACAGGGTTTAAACGTGTGTGAATCTTATGTAAGGCAATAAACACATGTGTAAATAAGCTGCTTTAATGAACAAAGACACATTTATAACAGAGTTTAAAAAGCTATCTGTCAGTATGTGACACAGCTCGTCAGTCTTTATCAGTGACAACACAATCAGAACAGGACTGTTATTAACATTCAGCTCCGAATATCATCAAGGCCACGTTTATCACAGAAGAATCAGATAAGATTAACTGTTGAAATCACTATCAGACAGATACTGGTGATGATGAACTTTTCTTTGCCATCAACACTGTCAAGTCAGTAACTTACAGTGTCTGATTTTTGTCCTAATGATCTCTTTGAACATCTAGTAGAATTATCTGGTTGTATCTGGTTCTAATTATAGGGAAACAAGACATTTTTATCAGGAACCTGTTCATTTATTTGAAGGAATTTCTGTGAAGACCCATTTCTCTCAGAAAATAGTTCAAATAATAAATATAAACACAAGCGGTGATTCAGGGTTGAATCCCTTTTTTGACTCAACAGAAGGAACCAACTCAATCAGGCAAAATTAAAGCAGTGAGGAAAAACAAGCAGGTAAAGTCACTTCAGGTAGTTTAATTTTGCTTAAATAGGGAGTGAGACCAATCACACTCTTGTTCCATCATCCTAAAGCCTGCAAGGTTTCAATGGTTCGTTCCCGCTCACAGCAAATTGGGAAAAGGCATAAGATGGCATCATGATGATGAATAGGCCCCGTCCACATGCACCAATCATTATGTCACTTTAGATTTTAGTTAATACTTGCCCCCTGTCCTCCAGATTTTGAGGTACATATTATTGGTATTTGTGACGCCCCCTATGGTTCAAGCTCAAAATGCTTTGGTCAGCCTGTTTCCAAACACAGAAAATATCTACAAAGATTTTTGATGATTGGACAAATTATTATCAGTTATGGCCTATGACCTGTTTATTGAAGAAGTTTATAGATTTAGACAACTTTAGATACGCTTGGTCCAGTGATGATCTAAAGAAACTGGATCTACAGTTAAGCAGGAGATGTCAAAAATGTGTTTTTCAAAAAATTCTGAATGGTGGAAAATCCATCATGGCGGCCTTTATGGTCCAAGAGGCTTTTTTAAAGTATATATTAGTTGTATAATATATTCATTCATTTTCTACCGCTTATCCTCTAGTAGGGTCGCGGGGGGGCTGGAGCCTATCCCAGCATCCTTTCGGGCGAGAGGCGGGGTACACCCTGGACAGGTCGCCAGTCCATCGCAGGGCACACAGAGACAAACAACCATTCACTCTCACGTTCATACCCATGGTCAATTTGGAGTAACCAATCAGCCTAGTCCCCATTTGCATGTCTTTGGCCTGTGGGAGGAAGCCGGAGTACCCGGAGAGAACCCACACAAGCACGGGGAGAACATGCAAACTCCACACTGTATAATATATTATATTATACAAACTGCATTTTTGCAACCATGTTGCCAATTGGGTTCATGTTTCATGGGAAGCAGGTCCAGTTATTGGGCCAAGTTTCGTGTTTCTAGCTCAAAGGAATTTGAGCCGATTCGACAGAAAAATAATAACAAACAGACACAATTAACCTAGAAACAGACAATCTAGAATATTTTTCAATTTTACTTGTGAAATTCAAAATTATAATATATTAATTTAAAATTATGAGTTTGTAAATTACAAGTCACAGGTAATAATAATGGTCATAATAATGATAGTAAAAATGATGTTTGAAAAGACCATTTTTACTTGTCAAAAATATGGAATCTATGAAGTAAAGGTCATGAGAAGGAAAGTCACAATTACTCATAATTTTAATTTACCAAGACAAACCTTTACAAAAGATTTACTGAGTGAAATTTATGAAATTTACGAGATAAATAATGTTTATCTCATAAATGTTACTTTATTTTAGTTCAACTTTTTCATTTTTTGTTTAGTGTCTCACAATTATGACTTTAATATGAGCTAGAAATTTAATTTATTTGTTCTTTTCCTGGCAGAAATGGGCTACCATACATTATTGAAAAAACTAATATCTAATGAATGGGAAACAGGCTCTTTTAAACTCAAGTTTCTACCTGCAGCTGACTGAACACTGTCTCTGTTTTACTTATAATTTGAATCAGACTACACAGTTTACAAAAATCCTCAGTTACATATCAGTTTGTTTCTGGGAAATTGTCAGGAGGACATGGGAACCATTTTTTTTAAATCTCATCCAAAAACAGTGATGACTGTTTGTACATCATTCAGAATTTAAATGTCTGGATAAAACCAGTATCTGTCACTCACTGCTGACCTCTGGCGACTCAGATGTGTCGTACACTACACTGACTGTTGAAGACAAAACATCAATCATCCTTTTTCAAGTATTATCACTATCAGTATAAACCAGGGTATTTTTCGGTTTATCATATATATATAAAATTATCATGTGTACCGTGCACTTTATATTAAACAGCTGATGTTACAGATGATTTGGTTCAATACATTCTGCGCTGCTATTCACTGCATGAACCTAAACCCTACTGTGGGGTACCATGTCTCTGAAACTAACCAAACCACAGACGCTCACATTTTCAAACAATGCGTCTTGTAGAGGAGATTTCTAAATTATTTGTGATATTCACATGGGTGATATATTGCTGCTGTACATATGTATATGAATAGGTGTAAATGTATTTATATATTTTTTGTCTTAATCTGTTGAATATATTTTCATAGATCCTAGGTTTCCCTTGTGCTCCCTTTGTTTTGATGTGTTTCAGACCTCTGTCTGTCTTTGTTTACTTGCATGGAGATATTTCAGTATAATAAATTATTTATGGTAAATCTCTATGTACTTTGGAATGAGAGTCCAATGGGTTTTTAGATGGCACTGGATTTAGCTTGAACTGGATTTCCTAGAGGACTGCATGCTGGTGCTAGTGTAGGATGTAGGAGACAGAGAGTGAGTGTTTGCAGACGATGCGTTTCTCTACGTATCAAACTTTACTTCTTCATATACAAGAACCTTTTCAGCAGAACGTTTACTTTGTGTTTATGTTTGAAATGTCATTTTAGAGATAATTTTGCTACCTGAGCATTAATAAAGTTGTCCTTGTTTAAGGTAACAGAACTCACTGTAGTACATCTCTGTTGTACCTACAAACACACACATGCCTGCAGGAAATAATGGTGGAATAGTACCTTTGTATTGATCATTAAACAGTGAAGGAGTAAATATTTACTTTTATTTGAGTGGGAAAGACATGAAAGTCATGACTGAAGTTCTCAGATCATTTAATAAAACCGGAGGTTTTAACACCAGTGTGTAAAAATACCATTAAATGTCTGGCATCAGAAACTTTACAGAAGTACAGATGTAATAAAGGTCCATATAGTCTAAAGGTCTCTGTCCATGTGTTGTTTGATTATAAAACAGGTCTAGGGTCTATAGTAATACTGTGATAGCATCAAAGCCTCAGTCCACAGAGAAATGCACACAGCCTGTATTCAGAAACTGAGCTTTAAAACCAGCCGTCAGGACTTCTGGAACTTTGTGATGTCACAACTACGCAGTCACATGCCCTGCCCACCTGGACCCAACATCCAACCTTGCAGGATTTGGTTTCTCTGAGTGTTTACCTGAAACCTGCTATATTTTTATTAGATCACTCAGAAAACAGCCAATCAGCAGAGAGGCTCAGAGCCTCCTCTCTTCAAATGAAGAGAATGCAGAAGAGCTGGATGTGAAGTGGATTCTGATGAGCTCGATCTAGACACTGGACATGAAGACTGGAGGTGAAAGGGGACGAATTCGCCTGAAATGACAACTGACAGCAGAAGAGTGAGAACAGATTTAAATGTTGAAAGCAGCGATATGATTTGCTGATTGAGATCGAGGTGAAATATGATCCATTTACTGAAAATGCCCATAGTCAGCTTATTGGAGCAAGGAATGGAGAGAGAATTAAAATTGTGAATGAACAGACGAGTAAGCTTCTTAATTGAACTTACATTGTGCTTCATTATGAAATACAATTCGTCTCCTTGGAATCATAAGGTTCTCTCTGTTCTGAGCGGTTTTGAGACATTGAGCCTCAAAGTTTTTGCATTCCAAATAGCAAAACTCATGTGGAACAGGTCACTTAAATGTATTCCACACGTACAATATCAAAATCCTGTTAAATTTATAAATTTTGGAAGGGGTCAAATAGAACTTTGTAATCCTGAGAACTTGCTGGAATTAGAAGGTTCTATCTTGCAAAACATGAAAACTGTTTACTCATCATTAGTTTTTAAAACATTAGTGTTGTAACAGAGTGTCTGCATGAATCAGAAAGTTAAATAGAATGTGTTCTATGACATTTTTATGACATGTATTCCTTTTTATGATGAATCATTTTTTCTTATTCAGACGTTAAGTATAAAGGTCAGTGCTCAATATTTTTCCAGTGCAGAGGCCAATTAGATATAGCAACCGTTAGTTTAAGTTTTCTTTAGGCTAGACAGTAGTAGTATTAGGTTTTGTTTGACTCTGGATGATAATCACAGCCATGCTGATACACACAAACTTGAGGCATCCATAAAAGTGAATGTTTAAAAATTCTTGAAAGGTCTGATCAGTTGTTGACTGAAGCCAGGGGAACTCTGCACTGTGATAATATGAGATGTGAGCCCCCTCTAGTGGTGAAGAGCTGGTATAACAGAGCCTGACAGAACACACAGTCAAAAATGTAATTTTATTTCCAACATTTATTAAGTATAAAATATTTATGATATTGTTCATGACAAATAAAGCAGGAAGATGTATCCTGGATGAAAATGACATTTGAAGAATATCGCATGTAGAGAATCCCTGCACTTGGCCTCACAGACAAACATGCTCAACTACCTACAGACTACACATGACGTTAACACTTCTCCTCTGACAGGTTTCCTTCACACACATCACCTCTCACCTCCCTCTCTACTCAGACATTTAAAAGTTTCAAGTATTTCTCTGAGAGTACAAGCTCTACACTGATACAGACTGTACTGCAGTAACACTCCCCCTCCTCGTCACTGTGTAACACAGCATGTCCTACTGGGAGCGACCTCAGACCAGCTAAGACATCCACACAGCCTCTTTATTCCTCGCCAGAATAAAAGCCTCTAACATCTGTCAGCAGTAGAGAGACCTGTTCAATCAGAATATGGAGAATATGCCCTTTAACAATACATATCAGGTATTATACAGTATCTTTCATATCACCAGGATAATCAGTAAATACATAAATGTTACATATTAAAACACTGGCAGACCAGCCTGTTTCTAACATTACAAACTACATGCACAAACAATATTTACACAATCTTCAAATGTTAATCCTTAAGATTATTGTTAAAATAACATATCTGATTCTGTTTCTTACTAATATTTTATAGTAATTATTAGTGAGTAGTTCTTATTTCAAATTTCATTTAAAAATCTGGATCTTTTCTTCCAGATTTCTGCTGGTCAGAAGGAGAACGTTACAACAGTAGTGTGAACCCTTTAGTGTCTGCAGATGGAGCTGAGTGAAGTATGATGACTTATCCTCAGGTGATGTCACCTGAGTCTGAGTCTGGGCACTACAGGTCTGAACAGTAACAACAGTCTGAGTGTCTGGAGTCACCTGCTGGTTATGATGTGAAATGATCTCCTCTCCTCAGGTGGATCTGGGCTTTAGTGGAAAAGTCTTTTTTGTTCTTATGAAGGTTGAAACTGAGGTAAATGAGCTGAAGTCTCTGAGCAGCACCATGATCACAGCTGCTCCACTTCTCTACATGAGGAGGAAAGGAGCTTCGGTGCTTCCTATCTTATCTCCTTTAGCAGAGGAAACACTGGACCTTCCTTTAGGAAAGGAAAGGAGAAATGCCGTCCCACAATTCCCTGCTGCAGCAACAATTAAAACGACAGACGATTGTAGTTTCACCTTGGCAGACCCACATAAATGTAGAAACAACAGAGCAGCTGTTTTATGTTTGTGACTCGATCTACAACTGATGGAAATCCTTGTCTGATCCACTGAAACCCAATTCGATAAATATGGATTTATTCTCTTTAAATCCAGTCAGGAGTCGTCATGAAGAACAAGCAGATTGAATTTATCATCATCAAAACAATCTATAAATGTTTCAAAACTGCTCACTGCTCTAAAAAAATAATTTTCTCTACTTAACAAATATATAAAACAGTCAAAACTCTATATAACCTACTACCTGTATGTCTGAATATTATCCACTCTGGCCCCGACTCAGTTCCTTATTTCTATTTAATTATTATTTTAATCAACATTCTTTATTTGTATTTTTCTTTCATGTTTTCTTATTTCAACATTTGACTCCTGTTTGTTTTGTGTCAGTGGTTAGTAAAGGAGGATTTATTGTATGTGTTAGAAAGTGTAATAAAGTTAGTAAAACAATAATCCAAGTGTAAATGCAGTCAGATTTTTTTCCTAGGTCCTAATGAACTCTCCTTCACATCTTTCCTTGACCTTGTGACATTTTCCATCGAGGTCAAGGAGAATTGGTTAGAGGAGAGAGAAAGATTAGATAGAGAGATTTAGACTTTTCGACCACAGCCCATGTCTGGCCTAATTGGGAGGAAACCTACAAAGAGGGGGCAGGGACCTTGGCTCTTGCAGCAGTTGTGCTGAGGTTTTAGGTTAGTGCTGGTGCTTGTTCAGGTCAGAGGGAGGACATCAGATCCTATGACCCACTGTGTTTTGTTCTGAGTGGCCGCCCATCAGCTCTCTGTTGTTTTTTCTGTTGTTGATCATGATCTTTTATTCTTTGTCATGCAATAAACACCTTTGGTGGTGTTGGACTGTTGTTCAGTTACAGAGCCTGTGGGGATCGTCCCATCCCAAGTCTCATCCTTCACAGGCTGCATGTGAAGACCGATTATGTCCCAGTAGTGCGACTAGACTGTCCCATTTCAAAGACTCCTTAAAATGTGGCCAAGAAATGCATCCATCTTATCCTGGGCAACAAGTGGATCCTTCGTGGTCCAACCTATCCCACAATTCCTCATAAAGAAAGCAGACAACAGACAGAGAGCCTGAGGATTACACTGTTAAATGTAAGTATTGGGTTTCAGCTCAGTTCAACAGCTAACGGTACAACTGTTAAAACCAAGGGCCTTAAAACCTCAAGTTCATGTGAAAAAAGGAAGTTGTGTGTTGTCAAGGTTGCTAGGCGACAGGAACTGTACTTTGGACGCAACAGTACGGACAGGAACTGCTGGTGACGCACAGTGAAAATGCTGCGTAGTTTTCGCGATCTACAACGGCTACGAAGGGCCACACCTTCATAGACCATGTCCTCTGAAGGATGCGGCCCCTGAACTGGGACACAACTTGTGGCTCTCTGACTGCTGTTTAATGAACCATGAGCCAGCACCACAGCACAGATCTGATATAACTGGATCATCAGTTAATGGTCATCCATACAGATAAAGTAAATGATGAGGAGGGAACACTGAGAACGCTACAGCAAGGTGTATATATATATAGCACAGCTGAGTTCCACTTGTTGGAAAACTTTAGACTGCTGTGAGCACCACGCACCACTGGGTGTCACCACATTTCACTAAACAGACAATCTGAAGGATTAACAGTTTGAGTTCATGAAGAAGAAAACAGCACAGTTTACCAGCAACTGTCAGGAGTAAATCATAGGCATACATATCACCTAAATACATCTGTTGTACATTAAAGTGATTAATCAGAGATTAGACTCACATGTGTCTGATTTCTCTCAGGTTACCTCACAGGTAGCATCAATAACACCTGACCCTGGATCTGCCCCTGAGGCACCAGCATTAATGCAGGACTGAGAGTCCACATGGTCTTTAACACTTTACAGCATGTCTACCTCTACCTGTTTCCACTGTCAGAGCATCAGCTGCTCTCATGTCAAAAGAAGTAAAAAAACAAAGACTCCATCTCTCCTGTTTCCTTCCTTCCTCTCTTCCTTTCCTAGTTCACTCGTGTCTGTCATGAAGAACTGTCCAGTGCCGGATGACGACTGAGACAGACGAGTCCACTTGAAGGAGAAGTCGGTCTTTGTAGAGACAATGTTCAATATGCTGATTTATATCAGTCTTGTATTTGTTAGAGCCGGGACACAAAGAGCCCGTTCAAACCTCCAGTCCGCCCCCTGCCAGGCTGAGACTCAGAGCTGGGCACAGTCCTAAACTCAGAGTGGACTGGGGGGACGAGCCCGTCAGGTCCCTGCTGAGGTCATTCAGGTTGTCCTGGGGGTCAGAGGTCACAGTGAGGTTGTTGAGGTTAGGTGTAGCTGATGTCAGGGTGCTGCTGTTGGCCACCCGGCGGAAGACAAAGTGGAAGGGGGGGGGCTGGGGGCGGCTGTGGAGCTCAGCCTTGATCTTCTGAGGGTGGGTGTCCGGGGCGAGCTGCTGGCTGCTGCCCTCCATCAGCAGGAAGAGGCCGTAGTCCTGAGGGTCGGAAACCTTAAACTTCTGCGCGCACAGCTGGCACACCTCGTCCACGGTGGCGTACGGTCGCACCTGCAGAGTCTTGGCTGTGCAGCCGCTGTCCAGCTCCTGCAGCGCCACCCGCAGATAGTTCTGAAGGGGGGGGGGGTTCAGAAAAAACACCATCACGTACAGATTCTGACTGAGGCAACCAGGAGACAAGTTTTACTGTTCTGGACTGGTCCTCCTCATGAGTGACTGAATCTGGCTTCTTTAGACTAGTCAACCACCTTCACTGTGTACTTCCTGTGCTCATTTCTTAATTTTATTCTTTCTAGAACAAATGTGTGTGTGTGTGTGTCTTTACCTGGAAGTCATCAATGGATGGTGCAGAGCGCTGGGTGGTGCGGCGGCGGTGCCACTGGTGGAGCGTGTCCCTGGTTTCAGAGCTCAGGACTCTGGCTGCCTGCTCCTCCTGGAAGTTCCTGATAAGGGACATCGCTCCGTAGGCGCTGGTCAGGTAGTATCCACCTGGACATGGAGACAGAGGGTGGACACAGAGAGACAGAGGGTGGTGTGAAAGAGTGAAGACAAAGGGGTGGAGTGAGAGGATGGACCCTGGGGGTGGAGTCAGAGGGTGGAGCCAGAGGGTGGAGTCAGCAGGTTAACTGATACCTTCTCCATGCAGCTGTGAGGGGTCCAGCAGCTCCATCATGTAGAGAATCTCATTGTCCAGCTGAGGCATGTCACACTGAGCCAACACGTATGTGAGCATCGGCAGGAAGTCGTCAGCTCCATACAGACGACCTGAGAGAACAGACCAGGTCCAGGAATGTTACTCAGCTGCTCCTCCTCTGAGACAGTTTACATCTGTGTGTGTGTGTGTGTGTGTGTGTGTGTGTGTGTGTGTGTGTGTGTGTGTGTGTGTGTGTGTGTGTGTGTGTCTGTGTCCTGGCTCTCTACCTGAGTTGTCCTCCATGATGGTGTATATGAGTTTGCAGACCCTCAGCAGCGTGCTGACCTTCTTCTCTGGGGAGTACAGTTTACACATGGTGTGGAACTTGTGTCTGATCTTCTCTATGGCCACCTGATCCGGGGGCAGAGTGTCAGCCACCCCCATGTCCTGCGGCTGCCGTGCCTTGGCCAGCGACAGGTTCTCCTTCAGCTCCTGCCACTCTCCGCTGCGCACCTGGAACTCCTGCAGGGCGGCACTCACCACTGGTTTCAGAGGCTTCAACACGCACTTGTGCATGGCCTTTTCCAGGACCTGGTCTGAGGACAGGAGGAGGAGAAGGATGTTACAGTTCAGTGAGAGTGAGAGTGTCTGACACAGTCCACGCTGTCAGGATACTTTCTACAACACGTCAACAACAGATGAGCGTTCACTCTACAAGTCTTTACATCTGATTATGTTTCTATTGTCAGTGATTAATCCACACTTGGTGCTGTAGTGAGTATTTGTGGCAGCAGTACAGTGCGTGTGTGTGTCTGAGTCAGAATAAACCACAGTGTGTGTGTTGATGGTGATGGTTCCTCTGAGCTCAGAGCTCCATTAAAACACATTCCTCTGAATGTGAGTGAATCTGAATGTAGCTTAGAAGATACAGCAGCCCCATGCAGTAGCTCCCCTTCACATTGGAAAGTGATGACACAGGTTGCAGCTAGCTGGTTAGCATGCTGCTGTTGGTGGGTAAAGGAAGGAAATTTGATGCTGAACTCAACACTTCTTCTAGACTGGTGAGTAAACAGCTGTTAATGCTAACGTTAGCTATGTAGCAATAGCTAGACATACAAATAGCTTCGTTAAAGGGGCTATTTGTAAGTTTTCTTTGCCACTGAATGTGGTTTCTTGCTGGGAGCAGTGGTGATTCTCACATGACAATAGCTTCAGCCATCATTGCATTTACAAGACAAGAGTTTATAATACACAGCTACTTCTTCAGGACACATTGGAGGCTACAGTGAGTTGCTCTCGGAAAATGATGACTGGCCAGAGCTAGCATGCTAACTTCAGCAGAAGACGTGATAGAGACAAGAGTTAACATTGGTGTTTGTTTCCACCTCTGGAGACAGCTGTTAGTGAATAACAGGGTGTGTAGTGAAGGACTGTGTGTGCATGCGTGTGTGTTTGCGTGCGTGTGTGCGTGCGTGCGTGCGTGAGAGAGCTGATACTGTCACACTTGAGGAAGTGCTCTGACTAAACTCAGCCCAGAGATAACAGGTAGACAAATCACTGACATGACAAAGACTCAATAACGTCATCAACTGTCTTCATGTTTGTTAGCGTGTTAGCAGGGCCTGGGTTAGAAGTGTCTACACCAGCCTGTTGTCCTGTTGTGTATTAAGGTGACTTCATTCAGAGCCCAAGTCAAGGCCAGTGTTTCCTCCCTTATCAGTGTTGTTGTCAGTTGACACAGACAACCTTCCTGCAAACTGTCGAGGTCACATCACCACCTCTGGTCTCTGGTGCTGTTCACACTCTAAACACCAGGGTCCAGGAGAGTGGAGTGTGTTGTTGTTGTTGGAGCTGAATAATGCAGAGTGTGTGTCCACACAGCTGAGCTGCTGCAGTCTGACTAACACAAACATGATATCATGATACAGACAGGATGGAGGCAGAGGGAGGCCAAACCACAGCACTGCTGAATGAGGACCGTGTGTGTGTGTGTGTGTATGTATATGTGTGTGCGTGTTGCTGACTCTTTCCAGAATCCAATGAAGTCAGCAGTTTTTTTTCCTGAGCACATCTGCAGACACAGACTTTACTTTCCACCACAGCTGGATAACGGCCAGCAGCTGCTGTCCACATATACCAGTCTCATTCAGCTTTCTTACTAGTTTTAATGGAAACTTTCTCCTCACCCACATTATTGACACCTTCTAACACCTCTGCTGGACCTTGACCTGGACCAGACCGAGGGAGGGTGCAGTGACATACAGAGGATGACACTCGTGCCAGCATCTCACAAACAGGTTCTCACTTCCTCATTCCGCAGCTACTGACTGACGGAGAGTTTCCAGGGAGGGGGCAGTACGTTGACCCAGCAGCAGGATCACTGTGGTTCTTCTTCTCTTACTGGTTCTGATCAGGACTAAGAAGATCTGTTGGTCAGCTGGGTTAATATTCCAGCCGGTGTGAAACAACCTCCTGAAAGTGTTACTGACACCACATGTGGTTCACTGCTCCACTTTCACTGAATAAAGCTAAGTCACAGACCAATGTATGAAATGGTAGAATATAAATAAAGACATGCAGTGGCATGGTTCCTGATACCAGGAAAAACCAAATGATTTATGGGTAAAACATGAAAACAGCCGGGAAGCCTTCCCGCTTCTTAAGGTCAAATTCCTTTATCAGCTCATATCACTCCTTTAGGTTTGCACAGACTGTTTGTTTAACAGATAAAGTCTCTCACAGTGACCAGTGGACTCAGGTGATGGAGAGCTAACACTCCATACAGGTTAACAACTGCTCAGGAGATGATCCAGATTTACAGACACACTAATTCAGGTTCCTGCAGACAGTAGTCTGTAATGTACAGACTTATTAGAGTGTGAGTGTATTCCACACAGACGCACACATGCGCGCGCGCGCACACACACACACACACACACACACACACACACACACACACACACACACACACACACACTGACCCCTGTGTCCTTCTGGTTCCTGTCCTGGTTTCACAGTATAAACTCATGCACGTGAAGTGGAGGAAATAATTTTTTGATCCCCTGCTGATTTTGTAAGTTTACCCCCTTACAAAGACATGAACAGTCCATAAATTTTATGGTAGGTTTATTGTAAAAGAGAGAGACAGAATATCAACAAAAAATCCAGAAAAAAAAACATTAAATAAAGGTTATAAATTAATTTGTATTTGATTGAGTGAAATAAGTATTTGATCCCCTACCAACCAGCAAGAATTCTGACCCCCACAGAGCGGCTGTGGGCCCATGAGGCAGTCAAATTAGTCCTGTTCCGTTAGGAAAGTACTCCTAATCTCAACTCGTTATGTGTATAAAAGACACCTATCATAGAATCAATCTCTTCCATTCAAACCTCTCCACCGCCATGGGCCAAAAAGCTGTCAAAGGACGCCAGGGACAAGATTGTAGACCTGCACAAGGCTGGAATGGGCTTCAAGAGCATCAGCAAGAAGCTTGATGAGAAAGAGACCACTGTTGGCATGATGGAAGAAATACAAGATAAAAGTCAATTGCCCTCGCTCTGGAGCTCCATGCAAGATCTCACCTCGTGGGGTAAGGATGATTCTGAGAAAGGTGAGGGATCGGCCCAGAATTACACGGGAGGAGTTTGTTAATGATCTCAAGGCAGCTGGGACCACAGTCACCAAGAAAACCATTGGTAACACACTTCGCCGTGATGGATTGAGATCCTGCAGTGTCTGCAAGGTCCTCCTGCTCAAGAAGGCACATGTACAGACCCATCTGAAGTTTGCCAATGAACACCTGAATGATTCAGAGAAGGCTCTGGAGAATGTGATGTGGTCAGATGAGACCAAAATTGAGCTCTCTGGAATCAAATCAACTCTCCATGTTTGGAGGCAGAAAAATGCTGAATATGACCCCAAGAACACCATCCCCACTGTCAAACATGGAGGTGGAAACATTCTGCTTTGGGGCTGTTTCTCTGCTAAGGGTACAGGAAGACTTCACCGCACTGAAGGGCCGATGAATGGAGCCATGTACCGTGGAATCTTGGATGAGAACCTCCTGGCCTCAGCCAGAACACTGAAGATCGGTCGTGGATGGGTCTTCCAGCATGATAATGACCAAAACATACGGCCAAGGCAACAAAGGAGTGGCTCAAGAAGAAGCACATTAAGATCCTGGAGTGGCCTAGCCAGTCTCTGGATCTTAATCCCATAGAAAATCTGTGGAGGGAGCTGAAACTTCGAGTCGCTAAGCGACAGCCTCGAAACCTTCAGGATTTGGAGAGTATCTGTAAAGAGGAGTGGACCAAAATCCCTCCTGAGATGTGCATAAACCTGGTGACCAACTACAAGAAACGTCTGACCTCTGTGCTTGCCAACAAGGGTTTCTCCACCAAGTACTAAGTCACGTTTTGCTTGAGGATCAAATACTTATTTCATTCAATCAAATACAAATTAATTTATAACCTTTATCTAATGTTTTTTTTCTGGATTTTTTGTTGATATTCTGTCTCTCTCTGTTAAAATAAACCTACCATAAAAATGATGGACTGTCCATGTCTTTGTAAGGGTGTAAATTTACAAAATCAGCAGGGGATCAAAAAATTATTTCCTCCACTGTAGCTCTGGCAGTCTGACTGCACCTTCAGAGAACTGACTACGTGACAGTCTCACACACGGAGGAGTCATTCTGCTTCAAGGCCAAACAGGAAATGAGGACCAAACTTCATGTAAACATCCTCTCTGTCTCCTCTCGCCTCCAGCCAAACATCTTGACCAACTAAACAACACGAGAAAATAGTGAGGAACCTCAACTTCCTTAAACCCAGTTTGTGGCCGTCACTGCTCATTCTTACTATGATTTAAAACAAGCTTCAAATATTGAATTCATTTTATTTCACTGGTTCCAGAGAACGACTTCTACCTAATATGCATGCAGACACAGCAAACCAAATATTGTACAGAGAAGCTTCTTTGCAGTAAAGCTCAGCCACAGTATCAGGATCCTGTATAGAGCTGCTGCATCTTTGTTCTCAGTGACACACGGCTGCACAGCTACACTGTGGACACGACTCGTAAAGTGCTTAAATAATACATATTATAGCATATCTTGTCTTATGTTGCAGTCATAACATTTTACCTATAATTTTCTGCAATATAATTCAGTAATATTACAACTTGCTCAAACTGCTCCCTATTCTCTGCACTCATAACATTGTGCAGTGTCAGTGTGCACACCTGTAGCTGTGTTTCCCCTGCTCCCTCCTCCTAGCCTTGTCTCATCAGCATCACTGGGCTGACTCAGTTCTGAGGCTGCAGAACAGTAACAACACAGACACCATGTTAAAAACTTTTATATTTTCATTATTTGCATTAGCTAGCTGTTCATAACACACAAAGCGAAAAAGCCAGCTAATACAAGCACAGGGCTGCCCAAAAACTAGTAGCTAGATATACTAGCCACATTTAATGTCACCTGAGCTAGCACCTAGCTACAACGCCCCTGCTTACCATTTCACCTGCCGGGTCTTTACTGGATGCTTGGAATATATCTGTTAATCTGGAACATTTCTCTGCATCCTCCTCCAGTATTTTTTCTTTTTAATTCTTCTCTGCTCCACCTTTCTCATTTCTTGTTTTTCTGCTGCTTCAAACCAGCGTGAACAGTGAACACATACGTACCCTGGATGACACCAACATGTCTCTGATAACTCTGTCGTGCCTGAAGGAGAGTTCAGAGCTGTTATTGGTTGTTGACCAATTACAATTCAAGGCACACCAGTGTTGCACCACTTGAGGAGGGGCTGCTCATTTACCCCCAACTGTAAAGAGACAAGGGGCTGCGAGGGCACTGTCGGCAGGATGGTGCGGCAAGGCAGCCTACTTTTATATAATACCATATTGTTAGCCTACACAATAATCAGTCTGGCCCAAGATTGCTAATGGCCCACTGGGGCCCTCTGATTACCACTCAACTACTAGAGACATCAGTGATCAATGAACAGCACCTGACTGATTCTCATCATCACTGACGACTTCAATCATTCTTCACATTTAAAGAGTTTTACACCAACATGTCAGGTTTACTACAACAGGAGGAAGCACACTGGACTGTGTTTACGTCCAAGTTGTTGCTGCTGATGTCAGACTCTGACCCCCCACTGGGTTGGTGCCTGTTGGTTTGTTCTGCTCTGTGTCGCTCTGAGACCTGGTGGAAACACGTGGACGGCAATGAGTGAAGAGCTCATGACCTTCATCACTGTATCCACCAGGTCACTGTCATCAATATATGAAGCAGATAGAATCACAAATCAGACCCACCCGCCCGCACGCGCACACACACACACACACACACACACACACCCACACACACACACACACACACACACACCCACACACACACACACACACACACACACCCACACACACACACACACACACACACACCCACACACACACACACACACACACACACACAGTCAAAGAGACGGTGTCCTTGTGGTATACGTAAATAGCCTGGTGTTATCAGACGCAGGGTGTGTCGGTCAATCTGCTGTTACAGATAGTTTACTTCCTGCTTCACTCACACGCCTTAAACAGCCTGTGCACTTATCACTGGTTCATATGAGCAGGAAATGAAGGGTTTATTCTCCATACATGTCCTCCATGGACTGAACAGATAAAACATCTCTACATTGTGTTACAGTCAATTCAGAAACTCATCATTGTGTTTGACTCTTTAGGAAACAAGCTTATTCACTGTATTGTTAGAGAAAGTTAGATGAAAAGATCAATAGCACTCTCATATCTGTAGTCAATAGGAAGCCATACAGGCAGCAGCCTGTTAGCTCAGCTTAGCACAACGACTGGAAACAGGGGGAAACAGCAACTCTGTTCCACAGTTCAATAAAAGTCGTTACTCATCTCAAACAGCCCCTCAGTTCAGCCTCTGACTGAAACAGCCAACATTAGCTCAGGCCTCTTTAAAAACCCACTTTTTCCTGATTGGACGAACCTCCAGAAGTCTGGTGACGGGGCAGCACCAATTGTTTGTGAACCCCATCTCATCTTCTTACTGGTATGGAGGTTCTGAAATAAAACTTTAAAATTAACTGTAATTAACTAGTAACTAAAACTAACTAACTAGTAACCAAAACTAATGAAAGAGCAACTAAAACTAACTAGTTACTAAAAACTAATAAACTAGTAACTAGAACTAACTAACAGAACAGAATTGATGGGAAATGGAAACTGAACAAATTCATGTGTTGGAATCTGAATCTGACCAGAACATACAGTATATCAATGCTAACATTGCTTGCTAAATGTTATTATGTTATTCTGCTCTCACCAGTCAACTGTATTATAAACGTCCATCATCAGTTATTAGTGTACAAAGACAATTTATGTTTGCACCAAAACAAAAAACATGGCCTCCACTCTAACCAGCTTTGGTTAGGTTTGATTGGTTGGTTCGGTAGGTGGGCTAATGAGTCACAAGGTGATGTAGATAAGTTAGAGGAGAAAATGTGGGAACACAGACAAGGTGTTTGAGACTCAGAGGACAAAAACCTGTAACACAGTGAAGGAAAGAGAAAAACACAACAAGCATCATATAGTCACTTTGACCTGGGGTTTATGTGCTGGACAGCTGAGCTAGGCTAACAGGGGGCTGGCTCCAGCTTCATACTGAACAGCTGGATGAGAGTGGAATCAACATCCTGAACCCGTACACACACGTCAACGATAACAACAACAACATACTCCATGCACCCTGTGACTGATGCCTCTGAAATGTGTTTGACATTATTTTATTTCCCTTCAATGCCTCAGCACAGACATCATGTTTTTATGTCACCAGACTCCCTGATGTCAGCACATGAAACACTCAATGAAAGCATCAACAGTCCTGCACAAACAACGCTGGCTCATAAAGGCAAAGAGAGAGAGAGGGTCAGAGCCGACAGAGAGGGGGACAGAGAAGGGGGCACGCCTCAGATCCTCACCCCCTGATTGGAGAGCTGGTATAAAGACCTGGAGCTGGATTGCATGACTTGGCATGCAGCCTCTCACAACCATCTGGGCTGGGCGGACTCTGAGCTGAGTAGTAAACACTGAAGCTGTCACAACTGAATGTTGAGCAACTATTCCAAGAACTAAACATTTCCCAGTGTGTCATCTCTGAGGAAAACAGGTCACAGAGAACAGACACAAGATAAAGCAGCCATGACACCACACAACACGGACATCAGAGAAATATAGTTACATACTAAATTTTTGTCTTTTACATTTATTTTATTTTCTTTGTCATTCAAACATCAAACTTTTAAAGCTCCACATTTTCTTCTTCTCCTGTGTTTTATTTGAAGTGTTGATCCATAAGAAGAAATATTTGTGGTTTTAAGAAACAAAAATTATCTCATTGTAGTTTTACATCTCCTCTCTTGAGCTTCTCTCTGGAGCTCTAGTAACAAAAGGTCGCCATAGTCGTCATTTTGTGTTTTAGTTTTTATAGAAAGAAATTTACTTCTACATCTGCTCAGTTTGATTCATTTACTACAAATCCAAACCCCTGTCTATGAAAAGACGTCACTTCCTGTGCACCACAGAGCAGATGCTCAGAGCTGAACATGTGGAAGCATCAGTCAGTGAAGATGTAACTGATTATGTGCCGTTTATGAAGGGTTCACTGACAATCAACTGATCTCTGGTGATTCAATCCCCAGTTAGTAATGCAACCTCTTTGTTCTTTTCTACATGTTAAGTCTGAAGCGCAAGCACCTTGATGACATCATCAGTACTGAACTGTGCATACCTGATGAGTGAACTGTGTAAACTGATTGGCTGGCCCTTTAATAAGAATGATATCACACAACAGAAGTTGACAGTGTCACAATCACATGTTTAAAAACAATTAAAATCAGGCTAAAAGATCACATTACAATGTAAAATGTCAGCATAATGCTATATGATGCCTACTGATACAAAGACCCCCCCCCATGACTTCAGACTCCCAGCAGTTAACAGGACCAGTAGAAACGGGAGGGTTCAACAGCCTCTTCCTCCTGAGACAAAACCCTCTTTGTGCTCTGTTTACATGTCTCTCTGTCCAAGGTCCAACACAGTCTCTGAGTCCTGCCTCAATGATTCAGGCTGCTCTTCCGGCAGGTGTGTGTGTGTGTGTGTGTGTGTGTGTGTATGTGTGTGGTTTTCCCCTTTCATGTTGCTGTGATGGTTTTGGTGAAATACCATAAAGGATGGATATAATAAAGAGCCATCAAAGAGAAATGCAAATATAGTCTACAGATAATCTGTTTTAACAGGTGAGATGACGACTCTGTGTTCACCTGTCCTTCCGTGGTTTTTCACATGGACACTAACTCACTAACACACATGACAACACAGAGTTAACTTAGAAGAGCCTGATGACTGCAGCACACTGTCGACACATGCAGATGTTCAGCTGAAAACACGTGAGGATGAGTTTTCCTCACTGAAGTGAAACTGCTGCTTCTGCATCCAACATAAAGACATCACTCACTTACACTTCCTAAAAATATCTCTGAAGACACAGAAATGACTCCCCCTCCTCCTCCTGCTGCTGAGGGGAGGACCAGGTCATGAAGATCAAATGTCAGCAGCGATCTAACAGACCAGACCTACAGGAACACAACATACAGCTGACACTGAGGTAACAGTGACGGAAGAGGAGTGACCAAGCAGACATGAGAACTAGAACCGGATCTTTGGGACTCACCGATCTGGTCTTCAGGAATCAGGCTCTCGATGGGCGGCTCCATCTCGGAGCTCTGTCTCAGGTAGCTCTTCATCTGAGTGATGAACTGGCGGAGGGTCTGCAGCAGCTCCAGTCCAGAGGCATAGCCCTGCCAGGCTTGGGTGCCTGCCCCCTCGCCCATGTAGCTCAGGTAGTCCTGCACCAGGGAGCCGAAGTACGAGCCCTTGTCCCTGGACAGCTCCAGGACCCGGCGGACTGCCCTTTTCTCAGGCGTCAGCAGGGAGTTGAAGACGCCGCTCATCTTACGCAGGTGACCTCGCAGTGCCTTCTGCAGGACCAGAGCGCCGGCACTGGGCCGTCGATTGGTGCGGTGTCCTGGTGGCACCATGGTCAGGTCCTGGTCTTGGTCCTGGTCGCTCTCAAGGCTGACACCATAGTCGGCCTCATCTTCATCCTCCTCGTCGTCATCATCATCATCCTCGATGCTGCAGTAAGGCAGATGGGACGGGGGGATGGAGAGGGGGAGGTGGGTGTTAAGGTCAGCTGTAGTGGGGGGGCTGGGGTCATGAAGAGGGGGGAGGAAGAAGGCCGAGGACTGAGAGAAGTCCAGAGAGTCTGAAGAGTCTGTGGACAGGCTCATGTCACTCAACCGCTGGCCCCCCCCACTGCAGTCCTCACTGGCTTCTTCTTCTCCTCCTGGTATCTCCGACTGCTTCATGGCTGTCATCAGTGACTGTTGTGGAGGACTGCTGGAGTCCTGGGTGCTGGATCTGGTACCAGAACTCTGAGACAGTCTGGCCTTGATAAGGGCCTTCTCAATCGTCTGCTCCTCCAGCGCCAGGTGGCACTGAGCATCCTCCTGGCTTGATGACGGTGAGGCCTTGGCCCGGCGTGGAGAGGAGGAGAGGGACGACAGAGAGAGGGGCAGGGAGGGCCGGGAGATGGATATGGGGGAGCTGATGCTGAGTCTCTTGGGGGGGGAGGACGAGGGGCTGATGCTTAGTGAGGAGCCCAGACGAGAGAGGAGGCTGCTGCCCCTCTCTCTCTCCTCCACCTTCTCTTTGGGGATGTTGATCCAGGAGATCTTCTCTGGCATGCTGCGCTGTCGGACAGGGGGGGCTGAGCACCGCGAAACAAAACGTGGAGGGGGTGGACGAGGGGGAGGGGACCGGGACACAGCTTCTGCAGCACTCTGCTTCTGACTGCTGCTGGTGTGACTGGTGTCGTCCTGCAGGTCTGTAGTCTTGCTGAGGCTCTGCAGGTCTCTGAGACCTGAGCTCCACACCTGAGGACCGTCCCTGTTGTTAATGACAGGGTACTCCCTCAGGCCCTGCTGTGTTGTGTCAGAGGGGTCGGGGGTGGTGCTCTGATCGCTCTGTGGTTGGTGGACCTTTATGAAGAGGGGGTTGATGAAGCACAGTGCTCCATTGGACTGGCAACACTCGAGCTCAGTTGGGGTGCGAGTTTGAAGCCGAGAGTGCCCTGTCGCCAAGGAGACTGATGTCTGGGCAGGGGAGGGCAGTCTGTCAGGAGCTGATGTCACTGACACTGGGACTGAGTCTTTCCTTCTGCGGCACAGCTGAGTGTCCCAGAAGCCTGGAAGACACAGTGAGAGAAATATGATACAACATATAAGAGCTGGATAGATCTGATCCTCAGGTTAACAGTGACACCATCCACATCAGGTGGACTGAGGCCTTTTTTCAAGCTTTCAGACAAAATCAGTCATTGAACACCAATTCGTTACAAAGCTCATTTTGTTTTTTAAAAGGTTCTATAAACGATCATACTCGCCACTAGATGTCACACTAGACCACCAGTATATCAGACCAAAACAACGCTTTGTCGGCCACAACTCATCCACCACCCCCCTCCCTTCATGTTCTCAGTCAGCAAAATGTTACGGAGCCCAGTAAACACACAACAAGCTCAACTGAATAAAGTTTCCCTGTGAACACGAGAGCTAACAAAAACAATCCAACCACAACCATTAGCTCACGCGAGCATAGCTGTGATATGCTCCACAGCAATGATGACAGTTAGCCAGCTAGCGATAGCAACACTTGCTGAACACATTTATAATATCACTAACAGCAAGTTAGCTAACGTTATCATGTGTACTGTAGCCGTCACTAATGAAAACAGACAGGTAACATTATGAACCATCAAGTTACTGACACATGGAAGAGAAGAAAAAACAGTTCTGGGTCCAGCTGGAGCCTTTAGCAGCTCATAGGGTTCTCCTCCCAGTAAACCAGACCAGCACTGGCTCCACGGTCGGAGTGGGAAAGAAAGTCAGTCTTTGACAGATCCACTGGGACCAGCCACATCAATGACACTGATGGAGCCGGTAAAGACTATAAAAACTTTCGGGGCTGTTTTGACTATCCACTGGCCGATCAGGATTTGAGCCAGAAGTCCTCAGTCCAGTCCACCTGTGCTCTGGTCTGATCTCTCTCTTTGTCTGACGCCGTTAGATGAGAACATGGTCTCTTCTTCAGTGGAGGAAATTCTGGAAGGTCACTTTCACCTGGACGCATACTACACTGTGTCATCATCACCTGTGGGCGGAGCCTGCGTATTTATAAACGTGGGGAGGAGCAATGTTTAACAGTAGGGACTCACATGCATTAACACACATGAACATACATGCACTAACATGCGTGCTCTACCAGACCGGCAACCAAAGAACAGAAAAACTCAGATTATAACACACACAGAGGGAGTGTGACTTTGTTCTCTGCTCAGGGTGCAATTCCTCCACTATATCTTTACATAGAAATTAGTTGCTGCTGTGTTATTGTTTAAAATCTCATTTACAAAACGTTTAAGGCTGAACTAAATAATTACAGTGTAATTACAGTGTATGTTGTGGCATGTGAGGAACATAAATTCCAACTTTGTCTGTTACCAAAACGAAGCTAATGAGATTAGCTCAGCTCAGAGTATCAGTGATGTAAAGCATTTGGGACCTGTTTGGGACCATGAAGGCTTCTGACTCATGATAGCAAGCTTCTCTCACTGAGCTTTTCTCGAAATACTGTCACCAGTGGTTTTTTTTTACTGAACACACTAATTAACACTGATCATTATTGTGACATCACCATAGTCTGTCAGTTACTGCAGCAGCCTCCCACTGTAGAATCACTATAACTAATAACAACAATAACTAATGCCACAGACAGACAGACAGACAGGCAGACAGACAGACAGGCAGACAGACCGACAGGCAGACAGACAGACAGACAGACAGACAGACAGACGGACGGATAAATAGATAGACAGACCTGTTAACTCGTCTACTCCCGACCACACACTACAGATCCGTAGTCTATTATAACTTTATATAATTATAGCTCTTTAAACCTCTACATGCTGCTCAGCCTGTCAGGGTGCGTGCTCAAGCTCACAAGAAAGACTTTAACACGAGTGTTTGTTGACTCCATGCCGTACCAGACAGAGCAACACAACACAGACCGACACCAGTGGAGACAATAGGCCATGAGGAGCAGCAGTGCCAGACACAGAGCAGAGAGGCCTCAGTACTCACTGTGATCACAGCTCCTGTTGATCTCAGTCTAACGTCTCTGTACTGGTCTGACGGGGCTGAAGACGATACACTGGTGTGTCTGCACAAGCTGAGACTGGACTCTTTGCCTCACTCTCTCTGTTGTGACTCACTCGATAATGTGTGTGTGGGTGAGCTGTGCTCCTCCCTTTCTCCCTCCCCCTCTCAGTTTTTCTCTCTGACGCTGAGACCAAAGTTTCTCCTGTTTCCCTCCTTCTCTTGTTTACTGTCTCTCTCTCTGCTGATGTTTTCTCCTTTTCCTCAGACTGTTACACTGTCACTATCTTCAGATCAGATTTGAGATCTGTGTGTTTAAGATATTTCACACTTTATTTTCCTTCTTCTGCTTCTACAGACACACACACACACACACACACACACACACACACACACACACACACACACACACACACACGCACAGTTCTTTGTTGCTGAGTTACCTTCACAGAGACAGACTATGAAGGTGAGACAGTGGAATTAGTAGTTCTAAAGTCACACATGTGTATCGGCAAATTTGTCACAGTTGCTGCAGTGTGAAGTCATGGACAAAATTTGAACATCTGCAAATCATAATGTGAATTCATGCAATGAGAGTTGCACATCTGTAAAAATATTTTCTCAAAAATACTTTTTGTGTCAATAACTACAACTGCTTGAATCTTCTAGTCTCAAATGGCAAGTTCTGCGCGCACTGATTTTTGTACCAAATGTCTCTGTGAAATGTGGAGCAAAAGTGATTTGTACCTGTGGCACCTCAAGCCACACCCACTTCTTACATAGTCCCTGTAGTAATCACTGAGGAATACAACAGAGGGAACATCTCTGTGTATCATTCAGAGCCACATTAAATGAGGATGTCATCACTTCACTGTGTCATTCGGACTCAGTCTGTCAGTTCAGAGCTGAGTCACACACTCAGCCTGAATGGACTGAGAGTCTGTGTGTGGAGGTCATTAAAAGAAGGGTGGAGTGAACACCACCACAGGTTCAAAACTCTGTTCATACCTCAGCTAAATATAGAACAAAACTCTAGAGTTTAAGTTACAGGAAGCAGGTATCAGTCTACTCTCAAAATAAAAGACAATGATCATATGTGTGTCTTCATTACAGTAACAGTTACTCCACACTCTCTGGAAATGGAGGTGTCAGTGTTTTAGGTCCGTGGTATGGTTCTGTTAGACCACTGAGGCCCTCTGCAGCGGGAGGAGCTCCAGAGGCGCCCAGCTGACGCCTGATTCCATACCCTGCCCAGCGGCACAGATCTGGGCCTGGACCAGGCTTTTGTGCCTGAGGGTAAGACATTAACCACTGGTATGTCAGTGGATGGTTGGAGCACTGACTGGTTTACACACAACAGATGTGGGAGGAGGCAGGAGCACCTCTGTCTACAGAGACGTGAAGCTGACTGCAGAGTTATAACAAACACAACAGGATGCAGTGATACTGCACCTCTGCACACATGACTTACACACATGACTGACTGAGTTCACATGTGTTAATGTGCCGATTCTTTCAGAATAAAAGACTCTGTCTCAGCATGAATCATGTTGTTTTTATGTATTGTGTTTTTATCTAAATTGGAATGAGTAAACTTAACACTCCACTTTCAGACTGCCCCCGTGTGTGTTTGTCACCCAATGATATGTATAACAGACCTGGTCCAAGTTTAGCGACCTCCTCCAGGTCTGCAGACGTTGTGGCTGAGGCGATGACGTCTGGAAGCTTCAGAGTGAAGGGCAACACGTCCCTGAGAAACAGAGAGAGAGAGAGAGAGCTGAGTGCAAGAGAGAGACCAGGAGAGAGAGAGGGCAGGGCTGAAAACGGTGTGTGAGTCACTGTGTTGAAGAGGAGTGTCTTCAGCTGCAGGGTAATGTGTCTGAGCTCTCCTTACCTGAGGCTTTTTACAAGTCACAGCTTTTACAGTTTCCAGAGGTTTGACCACAGCTAGAAATGACACCTACACATGTCACATGACATCTTTTCTCAGTGACAGCAAAAGAAAACTGGAGCCTTTGAATGTGAGAAACTGCAGTAGTTGATCGCATGGCTTCCAGAAGCACAGCAGGTCTCCAACAGACTGGATTTAAATGAATAAATTCACCACGCTGAGCTGTACATGTATTTAAGTATGAAAATGTTAAAAGTGCCCTGTTACGGTGTTGACTATAGAAGCTGAGAAAGGCCATACTCACAAATTTTTTTTTAACTCATTATCCCAAGATAACAAAACTTGTTTTCTGTTGATATCTTGTTATCTTGAGGTAACGAGTTTTGTTATCTTGAGATAACGTGATAAAAAATATTTGTGAGTATGGCCTTTCTCATTTCCATAATCAAAAAATAAATAAATAAATAAATAAATACTTTTTTTTTTTTAATTCCATGTTACCCACTAAGATTTTTTTTTACAGAGAATTTGATCTCACTGTGGCAATAGAACAGTCATTATCTACAGCTGAGGTTAACTATAAAGAGCTTGTCACTTTAAACCTGGTAGGTGACACATTATTAGCATCTGACTGTACTGAAGGAATCTTCTGACCTCCGGTTAAACTGCTGAACATCTCATTGTCCTGTCACAACAAAGAGTCAGGACTGAACTGAATGAATGAATACAGATTGTGAGTCAGTATTTACAGTGGAACATGCAGCAGTCATGTTTTTCTATTTTAACTCTTAAACATCTAAAAATGAATCTCTGCTTCCTGGTTTAGATAAAACATCCTTCACATTTCCTCCTTTGCTTTTTCTGGCTTGTAGTTTTGTTGTGTTGGACTTAAAACTCTTTCCAACCCAATGACCCTATCAGAGTAATGTTGTTAAATGAACACTGAGTGTTTTGGATCACACGATTACAGCAAATTAGTACTTTTATATATAAGATTTCTTATACAATGTCAGATCTAGATCTTCTGTACTGGATATGCTCACTCTGTGGCTCTCGAGGTAGAGTGGGTTGTGCACTTATTGGAAGATCTGCGGTTCGATTCCTGGATTATCCACATGTCACAGTGTCCTTGGGCAAGATACTGAACCCCAAACTGCCCCTGATGCATCATTGGTGTGTAAATTTGTGTGTGGTCTAAAGAAAAGTGCTATCTGAATGTGTCAACCTCTTTGAATGGTCAATGAGACTAGAAAAAGCTCTATATAAGTGCAGTCTGTTCACCATTAACAAACTGTACCACAGTCCTTTACAGTAGCTTCTTCTTGTTCTTAAAAATGTTAGTCCAGGTGTTAAACCTGTATCTAACCTCCCCTCTCTCTAAGATTTCTGGAGAAGAAAGTCACCAATCAGTCATGTGACTTTCCACAACAGGGTTCGAACTCTGGGGGGGGGTTAATCAAGGAGTTAATACAGGAGGAAATTTACTGTAAGAAAAGTTATTGTAGAAACACTTTGCTTGAACCTTCCCCTAGTTATGCTGCTATAGGCCCAGACTGCTGGGGAACTTCCCATGATGCACCAACCTATTATTATTATTATCATACATCTCTTTGGAACATTGTGCTGTGTTCTCTTTCCTCAAGCTCTCTAGTCTGCACCTCTTTGTGTAGTGGTGAGTAACTGTAGTGATGAACTCACCTGCTGATGCAGCAGAAAGCCACCAGACGGAAAAGGTCTGCAAAGCTCAGTCCTGATCCTTCCAGAGAGAAAGCTGCAGGAGACCAGACCAGAAGAAGACCATGACCAAGACAGACTGCAGAAAACTGTGACCTCCTTTGATTGTAACTGAGCACAAACTGTAACAGCTCCTTCCATTCTAAACCACACTGATTCTAACTCTGTATCATGTTTCAGTGGTGAAGGGGACAGAGCTGAGAAACAAGCACAGATGCCAGAGACCAGTGTTAAACCAGTGAATACAAAGAGGTAGTAGTGATCTGACCTGGAAGGAGGAGACTTGGTAACTTGGCACACAACTACAACAACTCACAGCCAAAACTTCTGCCACTGAAGCTAATGTGACAGAGACCTGGGTATGAACAGACATAGGTGGCATCAGTGTGGGTACATAACTGTGTTAGTGCCAGAGACTGTTGACAAGATTAAAAACAAAGACAAAGACAGATGTGAATATGAAGTGAAGATATGAGCCTATGTAAGTTGGTAAAATCAACATGTTAAATCAAAATGACATAACAACAAAGGGTTAAAGGTTAAAGGATGCAGATGTGCTGGAGTGAGCTTGTGCTGTCAGCACTGTGGTGTCTTTGAGGCTTTCTACCAGTGTCATGGTTTTCTTCTCCACATATCAGAGGTGTCAGTACACTGTCTCTCTGTCAGGTGTCTTCTTACTCTTTCATCACTCTTCTTTTCTTTGTTCTATTTTCAGTTATTTAAAAACTTCCTGACACAAAAACCTCAGTGACGTGTTCTCTGCTCTGACGCTGGTCTGTCTGTCAGCACCTCTGATCACTGTGATGTGATGCACCATCAGACAAACATCCACCTCAGTAATATCAGACCATACCATGGATGTAGCAGGTTGTAATTAGCGGCTGGTGAATTAACATAAGTAGTTTGTAGAACCTTAAAGCTCACAGGGAACAGTCAGTGGGTTCTCCACAGATCATCCTGAATCCAAACTGCAGTTAAATGATGACAGTCCATGTGAGAACACAGAGAGAACAGTGATGCTGACTGGTATATTCATGTTCTTCATCAAGCCTCTCTCTCTATACATTTACTGTTCTCTTCAGCACACACCATCAGAGCTACAGGCTGCAGAGCACACACTCTCTGTAGGTAATCATGGTGCTGACAGACAGACCAGCGTCAGAGCAGAGAACACGTCACTGAGGTTTTTGTGTCAGGAAGTTTTTAAATAACTGAAAATAGAACAAAGAAAAGAAGAGTGATAAAAGAGTAAGAAGACACCTGACAGAGAGACAGTGTACTGACACCTCTGATATGTGGAGAAGAAAACCATGACACTGGTAGAAAGCCTCAAAGACACCACAGTGCTGACAGCACAAGCTCACTCCAGCACACACACTGTTTTGTTGTCTAGTCAGAGTCTGTCTCTGTGTCCTCAGATCTGGGTCAGTCCTCTTTAATCAAGCTGAGCTGCATCACTTCCACTGCATGATTGGTCTGTACCAAGAGGTCTACTCTGGACTTTGTCTCTCAGATATCAAATATCAATAACAGTGGTAATGAAGGAGATTAAGTCTATCAGCCATGTTTTAAAATAATCCACTCCTCCATTATACAAAACCTCAAAAACATCATCCAGCTCTCTAGACCAACATCTGGATCTCATGCTCAACCTCTCAGACAGGTGTTGTCTTATTCCTTGACGTTGGTACTTTGCATTTTCTTCTCCACAATTTAATTGGTTCTACAGAAAAGTTGTTTATTTTTTAAGTGTTTTCTGTGACCAGAGAAAATCAAAGTGCTGACTGCTTCTACCAGTTTACACTCAATGAGTTTCCATCTGCGGCTCGAATCATTCTTGTTTTAAGATCTAAGGGCCTGATTTACTAAAGCTTTGCGTGCGTAAAAACGTGTGCAAACACGACAGCACGCGCAAACACATGTTGATGCTGATCTACCAACCGGGCGCACCGAGGATTGCGTCTGTCAGTCGGGCAAAATAACACACGCTATCCATTTTGCGCTTCTGCCTTCATGAATATGCAATATAGGCGTGCCTGCCAGAGCGTGCAAAATATTGGGAGGAGTAGATGCAAATAGAATCATTTTGCGCACGCAATGTGATTTACCAAACCTGAAACTAATTGCGCTGATTATTTTTGCGTCTATATTTAGCATGTTTGAAAGTCAAGTCTTAGGCTACCTGGCACAGCCGTGCGCACAGATGGCTGCGGTCATTGTTGCAAGGAGGCGGCGTAGGCACGACAGGCAACGGAGAGAACGCATCTTTTCTGTTTGTGTCACTCTTTTTGGAATGGCAGAAGAAAAAATAATCGAGACATATCGGTTATCCGGCGATGCCATTTTGGAGCTTCTCTGTGAAGTAGGAGCTGATTTGGATCCAGTCACAAGGAGGAGTCATGCAGTGCCTGCTACGAAACTCAGAAATGTGCTTGTTTGCCTCTTGTACCAGCACCTCCAATTCCATGGCTTCAAATTTGCTTTTGTGCTTCCGTTGGGTCTGCTCGTTTGCATTCGCCACGGTGAACACCCTTAACTCGCGCAAAATCCTCATTTAAATAGGGCGGGCTCAATCACTTTTGCACCTGTAGTCAATTGCGCTGTTAATCTAAGTAAATCACCCGCAAGCCCCAAACAGGCAGCGTGCGCAATCTATCCATGTGCGCACGCAATTTACCACTCTTTATTTGAGATCTTAGTAAATCAGGCCCTAAGATGTTAAGATCAGTGTTACCTAGTGCTGTGTAACAGTAATAGATTAGATCAGGTAGTGTAAGTCCTCCTGCTTCTTTCTGGTTTTGTAGGATTTTTGGTATGACTCTGCTTGTTTTTGTAACATTTACATTAAAACACGTGGGTGTTATATGGGTGTTATATGGTTCTGAAATAATAAAAAACGTAAAAATATGCATTTTGATTGTTGTTGTTTTTCAGTAATCCAGGTAGCTCACTTTGTTTCAGCTCCATTAAAGGTTGAACTGTTTTTAAAGTCTTCTCTGACACCAACTTCCACAGCTTCGGTTTTATTCAGACAGGGTCAGGGGTCAGACATATTGTATATCACCACTGCAGAGGGCGAATTTCCCATGATTACTTGTTGTCTTTATTCCAGTGTCTAATGTATGATAGTGCTACAGGAGGAAACCTGAGAGCCAGCCCTCGAAGGAAAAACAACAGAGACACAAACACATGAAGAAGAGTTCACAGGTCCTTACTGTACTGGCTCTCCCTGACAGGGAAGTCTCTGACAGGTTCTTCAGAGTCCTGGTCCATACGTAGAGATATGACCTTTCTCTGCAGGCTGGCTGACCTCCTCACCACAAACATCTGCAGGAACAGTGCAGCCAATCAGAACAGTACCCTCATTACTGAAGAGCAGTGTCTTTCTGTAAGTGCAGGCCTGGTGACATGGAGAGGGAGGTCACAGGATACATTTTTTCTAATGTGTAGGTATTTACCTCATGTGATGTATAATGTGAAAACAGGACAGCTGGAGTTTACTTGTGTTGAATGAACTGTTTCTACCTGTGTGTGTCTGTAGACAGGGTTCGAATTATGGGGGGACCGGGGGAGTCTGACCCCCTGATTAAGACTTGGACCCACCCAAAAGAGGTAAAAACTACAGTTCGGGGGGGTTGAAACGTTTATATATCTTCTTACCTGTAATTGTAAATATTTCAAAAATATTTCTAATTTTCATGCCTGTGAGAATCTTGTACTATGATATCAGACACCCCTAAAGTGGACCGTACCATCTCTTAACCTTGACGTTTTGTTGACGTCTCGTCTGCCTGCCTCACTCCATCAGTGACTTTCGCCCTCAAATCTCTGCTCCCATGCGTAGTGCAGACACTGTTGTAAGTAGCAGTAGCTAACTATATAGCTTTATTAATACACTTTACTTTCTTACCTTCAGAGTGTCTGAATTAGATTGTGTCAAGTATCTATGGACAAACGCTAATGTTAGCTAGTTTCTAACTTTAGCCTAAAGTTACAGTTTAGAGATGTATTTTGACACCAACATAGAGTTTATTTTTTCATTCCGTGTGGTGGTTCGGTTAGTCTCTTACTTTTTCCGTTGGACCACAACAGCAGGGGCCAGCCCCATAATGATGAATGTCACTGACTGACTGACTGAGTGATCATATTTCCACCACTGGTCAGCCAAATGCCATAAGTGAAGAAATATTGTACTTTCTACTCCACTGCATTTATTTGAAAAGCTTCAGTGTAACAGGCAAGACACTTTAAGGACTGTATCACTTCAGTTCACCAAAGCACATGCCTGAATTTTACTGGGTTCCCTCTCACCCGGAGAAAAGTGATTGTATAATTCGCACTCTGGTCCGTAGCTGCTCTCTTACCCCTGCCTCCTGGTTCTGCAGGAGGAGCATGGCATCCTGGTGGCTGAGGCTCAGCTGTAACCATACAGCATGAGTGTGGACCAGCCTGTCCAGAACACTGAGCCGCCGGTGGAGAGAGTCGTAACCCGAATCTCTGGCTCCAGCTGGTCCTGCTCTGATCCCAGCACAGGGTGAGGGCTGCAGGAAGAGACCCCGCACCTCTTCACTCAGCCTAGAAACAGGGACACACCAAGGTCACATGTTTTACATGTTTCACTATATCAACATTTTAATATTCACAGGATTTCAGTTGAACTCCAGATCAGTCCAGTTTACATGATGGACTTTATGATTATTGTAACCTACAGCGACTGAACACTCCTCACATAACAGCTGTTTCCACAAAAATACACAGAATAAAAACCACAGAAGAATACATAGTGAATCAATGATTAGCACCCAACTCCAACTGTCAACAGCAGCTGACCCAGACTGGAGCGGTCCACTGTGCTCCAATCAGCTGTCACATCCAAATAATGATGATAATCAATATAATCAATCCCTGCATTCAGCAGGTGATTAATGCACTGCTGCAGCTCTTTACACAGACTTTCCCTGACTGAGTTCTTCTCCTTTAACTCACCCAGCCCAGTTTAGGAGGAATGCTTCTTATTCATGTAGTTTTTAAAGCCGTTAGTCTCTTTCAGCTCTCCAAATGAACTCAGAGCAATTAGTCAGCATTTGTTTCACAGGTGTGAACACACTAAAACTCCCTCCCTTCAAGTCCATATAGCAGTTATCTTATAACCTGTGCATTGTGAACAGAGAGTAGACAGATCACCTGCTGGAAAAAAAACAAACAGACTGAATCATGACCGTTGGTAACAACAGTGGGACAAGGAAACCATGACTGTACCTCTCCAACACATCCAACAGCCTGCTTCAAATCCTTGCTCAACTGCTTCCCATCATGACCTGCAGACTTTTACTAGAACGATTACGGTAGATTTGTGTTGTGATTAATTCCTCTTCTGAGACTTTGCTCAGACAGAACCTGTTATGATCTGAGGAGGTGAGACAGACCAGGACAGACACACTGTCAATAAATCCAGTTAGTTATCAGTCAGTTATCAATTAGTTATCAGTTCATTATCAGTAAGTAATCAGTTGGTTATCAGTTAGTTATCTTTTAGTCATCAGTTGGTTATCTGTTGGTTATCAGTTAGTCATCAGTTGGTTATCTGTTGGCTATCAGTTAGTCATCAGTTGGTTATCTGTTGGTTATCAGTTAGTCATCAGTTGGTTATCTGTTGGTTATCAATTAGTTATCAGTAAGTAAGGTGGTGGTGGGGTTGTCTCACCTCCTCAGATCTTAACAGGTTCTGTCCGACCAAAGTCTCAGAAGAGGAATTAATCATCACAAATTAACAGTAAACGTTTTAGTTAAGGTCTGCAGGGCATGATGGGACTTCAGCTTCATCTTATACACATACACACGATGACTGTTCTATTCACAGCTGATATTGGGTTATTATCAGTGGTTTTTCTGTCAGTTTAAGATGTTAATATCCAGGTTCAAAGACTGATGGGAGTGAATGCTGACAGCTCTGCGACAGCTGAGTGTTACCCTTCACACAACACTGCACAAACAGAGGCCGGTCAGGAACGTCCTCTGCTGGTAGTCACAGGGAACTGCACCACATGAAACCAGATGTCAGAAGAGAATCACACACTACACTCACCTGAAGACTGGATCTGTGCTGTGGTCCTCCTCTGCAGGCTTAGGCTGTTTCCCCAGCTCCTTCTTCAAGGTGCCAAGCTCCCAGGCAAATGAGTCGATCAGCTGAAGAGACACAGACAGACTCAATGACAGTTCAGAGATCAGATTGCACTGGACACATGAAGAGAGAGGGGTTGAGCTGCAGGACTGTGTTCAGCTATTTCTAGTTTCTAGTGGTGTGAGCTGGGTTTCATTTCTGCAAGTCTGTAGTTGTGTGTAACATTAATGACTAAACCATGTGACCACGTAGAGGGTGAGATATGTTAAAATTATTGATAAAATAGTATCAGTCCAAAATAATCATCATCATCACAGTAACTACCTGATGGAAAATGTATCTGTACACAAATCAAAATAAAGCTATTTAACATCATCAGCTGTTACATCAAATCACATCACTGGGTCTGTGTGTGGATTCACAGACCTGAACACAGATTCTGCTGCTGCTGTTTTTGGGTATTTTATTATTATGAGATGTTTTGGTCTCATTAAGTTATTGTTTGACTTTTAATTATTTTTTTTGTTTTTGTCAGATCCTGAGTTAATTATGATTTCAAAGTGTCACTGTTGGTTGTTTTTATATAATTTTTATTAAAATAAAATATTCAAAAAATTCATTCAAAAAATTCATTCATTCATTCATAACTTTCAGCAGAGGTGTCCAGTTCACACTGTACATGGGCTGTGCTTTTTGTTTTCACTAGGGGTGTGTGTGTGTTTGTGTGTGTGTGTGTGTGTGTGTGTGTGTGTGTGTGTGTGTGTGTGTGTGTTTGTCTGTATGTGTGTTTGTGTGTCTCTGATTCTAAATGATTTAACGAGACAGAGCAGGAAGTTAACGAGCTCCCCATCCCAGATATCTCAGCAACAACTTTCATAGGAAAACTGTTAATATTTATCTTCCTGGAACTCAGACTGACCCTGATTCTCCTCTCTGTGACACTGGTCTCATGTGTTTCGTTTCCCAGTTGTTGGGACATGTTCGTGTTGAGCAACATCACATCAGCAGAGTGACGAAATTAGCTGTTTTAAAGGAACTCACAGAGTCTGACTGTGTGGTTTGTAGTTTATAGCCTCAGATATTTACAATGGCAGGATTACATTAACCACATTATTAATGTGACATGTTAGCTCATAGTAACTCATGGTAACTCATGTTAGCTCATGTTAACTCATGGTAACTCATGTTAGCTCATGTTAGCTCATGGTAACTCACGTTAGCTCATGTTAGCTCATGTTAGCTCATGGTAACTCACGTTAGCTCATGGTAACTCACGTTAGCTCATGGTAGCACATGTTAATTCATGATAGCTTGTGAGTTCCTCATGTTAACACATGTTGCCTCATGTTAACACTTTAGCTCATATTAACTCACGGGTTCCTCATGTTAACTCATGTTAGATCATGTATCATCATACTCAAACTATGTTGTGACAGGACAACATCCAATCTTCCATCTTTCCCTTATGTACACTGCTGTGATAAGGTTTCATAGCTTCTCTGCTGTGAGGTATGGTAACACCACCAGCTCATGTGTGTCCTGTAACTAAATGCTGCAAGAGGCTGGAAACCAACAGTCTGTGATCTGTGTCTCAGAGGTAGTTCAGCACATTAAGCCAGTCAACCACAGGTGTACAGGTGTAGTATATGAGGTCTAATGACCTTTGTGATCTGTTACTCTCCATATCACCTGTGCTACATTTGAATTTAAATACCTCAGTCTGATACACTGACAAACATAACCGATAACATAACTCTGATTACAGTGCTAAGTAGTTTCCAAAATAACAGTCAGCTGCACTTTCCATTCATCTAGTTATCAACAGTTTCCTGGTTCACATGTGAGGTAAGAGGTGTGGCCCAGGTAAGCCCTTTGTGCTTTCTGATCTCACCAACATAATCTTTCTTTATTCCTGTTTATTATTATGGACTCCCCCCTACTCTGAGAGACCTTCATGTATACTGTATGTGAAGAGACAGAGAGTCAGATTAGTGATGTGTACCTTGAAGAAACTGCCCTTCCTCTCCTGCCTGCAGGGCGGACTGACAGAGGACATGATGTCTGCAGTCTTCTCTGAGTCCTTCTGTGTATTGAGCTGTCTGTGGAGGAAATACACATCAGAGCTTCACATCAGGAGAAACAGAGGGCAGCTGAGGTATGACCGAGATCAGTGTCAGGGACAGAGGGGGTGTGAAAAGATGTTCCTGCTGCTCTTGTCCAAACTCTTCAGAAATTAAGTGTGTCTGTGAGTCAGGAGGAAACACAGTATTGTTGTGTAGTTAACCAGGAAGTCAAAGGTCCATGTAACAGCTGTTCTGAAGAAAGCTGAAGACACCTGCCTCACCTCCTGATTTGGTCTCATCAGCCCGGACTACTAGTGGTGACTACAACATAGATAATGAATTACAAATGTTACTGGACCTTGTTGGTTTTGCTAGCAGCTGTTCCTTGTTCAAAGGGTTTTCTGTAACTTACCAACTGCAGAGTAAATAATCTGCTTCCTGTTACACCAGTTTGCACATGCCTAGCGTACATGAATGGCCATGTGATATGTGTTTTCAGGTTTGTTAGTCTGGAGGGAGATTATTTCTTATACAGAGCTAGCCTCTTTGAGTGGTGGATAAGACTAGAAAAACACTATATATATAAGTTCAGTCCATTTACCATTCAGACTCATACTTCAGTCTGGTACAAGCCTCAACCTCCGGGGACCACAACCTGCGGTTCCTCTAATAGCCACTAGAGTCTGGCTCCAACAGTGAGTCAATCCCCATAGACTCCCATGTTAAAATGTCCAACTTTACAGCAGAAATAAACATGTTTACAGCCTGGTACAAAAACAGTTTTGGTCTCTAATTCCCTCCTTCATTACAACTGTTTATTTAACTCACCTGTTTACATTTTATTAAAGTTATTATTAGAATTGGTGGCGTGGCCACTTTGAGTGACTGGTGGGTGAGTGTATGCTTGCCACAAACTGGTATGCACCAAAGACTCAGCTCCACACGCCCTTCCTTTTTGCCCATTTTTGGATTTGCTTGGAGTTAGGGTCAGAGTCAAGCACTGCTAAGATGGTGACTGTGGAACAGCTCACTCTGAGCTTCAAAACCGCTCTTCAGAAACCTGTGGGTGATCCATCTACCTTACTCATTTTGTACAGTTACATTTAGTAACTTGAAGATCTCCAGCTGTAATTTCTTTGATTTGATCATGTGGCTGCAGTTTTCTGTTGATCTCAACCAACTCCTCCTCTAACCTGAATAACCACACAGGTCATTTTTTTTTCAACCCTCTGATACGACCCATTGGAGTGCTCCTGTCATAATTACTATGACCACTAGATGTCACCTAGCAACATAACGTAACTATGGGTCATAATAACCTGCTGCACAGACGACCTATGGGCTCGTTTTTTACTGGAGGACCGTCTCATATTAATCCCCCAGTTCACTGTAATTAGTTTGGTTTAACCTGACCAGCATCACTGTTGGATGGAGTCAGTAGTGCGTGTTGAACCTGTAATCACACCTGTAATCACACCTTACAGTGATGTCACCATGACTGACCACACCCTAAAGATAGTCATGGGAGAAGCTCAGCTGCTACAGGCTGGAAGGAGAAACAAGAAGACATTCTACTGGTGTTGTGTTCCTCTACCTAAACAGAAACATTGTATTTCACATAACCTGCCTCTGCTTTATTTACAGCAACAAACATTTCCTTTTAAGCTCTGACTTTAATGTCACTCAATACAACCTCTATCAAAGCCTGCTCACTGTGGTTCATACTACACGATGTTGAACAGAGGGAGAACACACGCACGCACAGAGGCTTGACGCTTGACCCAGATGTGGTGGATCCTGTTACAGCAGCTGATATGAGCCAGCTGTGTGAAGGCATGCAAACACATATCCAAGGTCCCTCTTTAAAGATGAAACACCCGCTGACACACAACCCCACCCACAAACACTGCAGCAACAGAGCCTTGACACAGATCTAGACTGGATACAGCCTGTCCCAGGAGAACCTGCTGGATTGAAATATCTGTTGCTCAGTTACTGCAGTCATCATCATCAGTAGAGAGCAGAGATGTGGCCCTGAGACCACCAGATATTCTGCCTATGAAAATCACAATAATAACACTAACTGAGTCCAGTACCCATTCAGAACGAGGCTGGACTCAGAGTCAGCACCTTTGAGTCTGAGGCCTTTGGACTCAAACTGGGGTTGGAGTCAGTGGCCTGGTCACATGGAGTGAAGGGTCATCAGGCAGTTTTTTTTTTTTAAAGTATATTTTTTTGGGCTTTTATGCCTTTAATGGACAGCACAGTGGAGAGTGACAGGAAACGGGGAGGCAGAGAGAGGGGGAATGACATGCAGTGAAAGGCCGTCCGATGCGGGATTCGAACCGGGGCCGACTGCAGCGAGGACTGTAGCCTCTACACATGGGGCGCCTGCTTAAACCACTACGCTACACGACGCCCCCATCAGGCAGTTTTTGAAGGCCAGCTGTAAATGGGTGGAAGGCCACCCAGCCTGCCAGATTGCAAGCCAGCTTAGAAAGATGACATCACTCCAAGTCAAGGATCTTATTGCAAGAGTCTTGGTCACGTGGGCATGGATTGTCAGGTCTTTTCCTGCCGCACTGCACCCAGCACATGCTCAGCAAATGGGATACTGGCTGTCACATTCATGCAGTAGAACCTGATAAAAGTGGATGGGGTCGACCAAGAGGCCGCCGGACAAATCTCAGATAGAGAAGCACCTCGTCATAATGCCCATGAGGTAAAGAGGCCCCACGTAGAATGGGCACGCACCCCTACTGGGGCTGGCCTTCCTGCTGCCTTGTATGCTTCTTGGATTGTATCCACAACCCAATTAGAGAGTCTTGCCTTGGAGACTGGTCGCCCAAGGCAGTTAGGTTTGTAGCAGACAAAGAGCTGGTCTGTTGTCCTGAGGGAACGTGTCCGGCAAATATACACTGTCAAGGCCCTGACAGGGCACAACAGTGATGTCTCACTCACCCCCACAACACCGTCTTGAGGAGGGCGGAGAGGGTGTAGCTCAATAGACATACTGGCATGGGACTCGGACCAGATCTTAGGGTGGAATGCAGGGTTTGGGCGCAGCGACACCCCAACATAGCCCAGCAAGAAGCGGCAGCATTCCTCACGTATTGAAAGGGCATGAGGCTCTCCCATTCTCTTTGCTGAAGTAACCACCAACAAGAATGCCGACTTAAGAGAAAGCCATTTCAGCCCAACTGTTTACAGTGGTTCGAAAGGTTCATGCTGCAAGGCTTACAACACCAGCTCCAAATCCCATGGGTGGACAGCTGGCCATCTTTGGGAGTAATCCTGCGAACCTCTAAGAAACTGAGCAATAAGGTCACAGCAACCCTCTGCCATTTTCTGAGGACCAGCACGAGCTGCCTTTATGGCTGCCACCATTCCCCTCAAAGTTGAGGGGGACTTGCCCAACTCCAACATTTCTTGGAGGAACTGGAGAATGTCGTGGGCCGTGCAGGAGAGTGGGTCCACCTGTCTCGAGTCGCACCATGATTGAAACACTCCCCAACGGAATTAATATGCCGCCCTTGTTGATGGAGCCTGGGCTCCCTGCAGAGTGCGAACCACTGACTGGGGCAAACCCATGGCTAGGAACTTGGTCCTCTCAGGGGCCAGGCCCAAAGCCTGAGCCCCTGGGGAAAGGTTTTTTTTAAGGTAAACACAAGAAACTTGTGCTACAGAAAATGGACCAGACTCAGTGAATAGCTCCCTAAGCTTAACATCCTAAGTCCTATGATAACTATTAATTTAGCTATACAGACTAATGAGCAGCGATGACTAACATGTCTTTGGGGTCATCAGGTGGGAACCTCCTTTCACCAGTGTTTCGTCTAGTTGGTCCCATGACACCTCCAGGAGGCTAGACAGTGATCACTGGCGTCCCAGAGTCACTCCCCTAATGCCAACCATCACTGCTCCTCACACCACAACTATTTTCTCCTTTATTTTGCCTATGCTACCACAAACAACACTATCATCAAATAGGACAACACACACTAGCAGATTCAGCAAACAAAACTCCCCTAAACAGTTCTGTTCTGTTGTGTAGGACTAGATGTTTTTTTTCCAGAAAGTGGCAGCCAGTTTGAATGAGGGAGTCAGGGAGAGATGCCTTGTTAGGCTAAACACTCCCCCGCCGGATTAGGCTGTGCTCTACCTCCCCCTACTCCCCCACTATCCAAGACAATACAACTCACCATACAACTCACCTAAAACAAACAAACTCACCTGAACAGTCAAAGACACACTACAAACCAATTCAAAGCAATACAAACAAACAATACAGGCCAACTCACCTGGACTAACCGCATGGTCTCAAAGAGGCTCACACAGGCAACACCCCCCACTTAAAAACACTTCCTCTTCCTGGATTTCTTCCTTGCTTCTCCTAAAAGTCTGTCTATCCTAAGTGCTCCCCCTGCTGGGCCCCCAGCTACCATTATTTCTTCTCATCCAAATCCACTGACTGGATCTTGCTGCCTCATCTGACATGTCCTTTACTATTTTCCTCACACTCTGTCCACTTCCTCCTAACTCCCTCACCAAAGAGACAACAGACCTTGCTACAAATCCTCTACATCCTACTTCCACTGGACAAATCCTAACTTTCCATCCTTGCTGCTCTGCTTCTGCCCCTAACTCTACATACCTAAGCTTTTTCCTTTTATATGCTTCTACAACTGAGGCCTCCCATGGAACAGTCAGCTCTATGAAATATACTCTCATTCTACTCCTAGACCACAAGACTATGTCAGGCCTTAGCTTTGTACTGGCTATTTCCTGGGGAACAACAAGCTTTCCTCCTAAATCTACCTGCATTTCCCAATCACAAGCATCCTCTAAGCTGCCTTGCCTCCTTGCTGTCTTACCAACTTTCTCTCCCTCTTGAACAAACTTGATTGCAACTCTCTTTATTTTAGACCCTCCTAAATTTGCCTGCCTCCGTAAATCTTCAATTCCTGCAGCTAAGCTTTTTAAAACCTGGTTATGTCGCCACGTATACCGGCCTTGCGACAGACTAACCTTACAGC